GGGAGGGGAGGGGAGGGGGGGGAGTTAGCAGGGTTCTACGGCAGGTAGGTACGTCTTCTCAACGGAGCGACGGACGTTATTCAGACACCGTCGTGTCTGCGTACACGCGTCCCTCCGCTGACAAAAACCACATTGGGTTGGCAGATTCCGTCGCTTTACAAAACTCCCCTCCCCTCACGTGGGTCACTGAGTGTATCTCTCAGTGTGTTCACACAGACATGCCATCAGCCATACACACACACACACACACACGCACGGCAGGCAGGCAGTAAGGCAGGCAGCAGCAAGGTTGAGGACTCACTCATTGACCAATGCAGTCGACTGGCTGGCTCACGCCATACCCGCATCCCTCACACAAAGCTCTCTCTCTCTCTTTCACTCTCTCTCTCTCTCTCTCACACACACACACACACAGACACACACATTCTACATACAGACTATCATCCATTCTGGAGCCAGCCATGTATGCAGCCATCCCTCCATCCGTTTCACAAAGCCTCGCACCACATCCATCTGCACGACGAGCCATGGCCGACCAATAGATCTTGACGCCCTGGCTCACTCACTCACACACGTGTTCGTTCGTTCGTTCGTTCGTTCGTTGGTCGGTTGTTTGCATCCATCGCAAAAACACCCAAAACCGACACACTCACTCGCCCCCTCAGTCCCTGCCTCACCAATACAGCACCAACACACACAGACAGACGTACGCACAGTCAGCCAGTCAGTTAGTTAATGTGTGCGTTGATCCTTACCAAAGGACGGCACGCGCACTAAAGTACTTTACTTACTGTAGTATGGAGTACGGAAAAAACGCCACTTAAAGCCGCATACACACGTAACATAACATTACGTAACAGACATTCACGTAGACAGACATAGACATGACATATATTGCAGGAGGGAGACAGACGCATAAAGGCACTTAAGTGACGTGAGTGACGTGTAAGACGTATAAGTAAGGGAAGGAAGAAAGGCACACACGTACACATATAGATAGGGGTACGGTACACGTAAGCTTAAGCTAGCTACGTACACAGCGTATGAATTAGCCCACACCCGGTTACATCCCCTCATCCATCCATCCACCCGGCGTATCCATCACACATAGAGCTGCCCGTGTTGCAGCTGTGGATGGACCAGCCTGTGTGAGGCGTCGGCAGCCAGAGCACTCACCACCACACGGCCACTGCGCTGAACCGTCCTCGGCAGCCGTGGCTTGGTGCGCATGTCACGCACCCACGACCTGAACAAAACACACCACACGCACGTCTATGTCCGTTGGCCGCAGATGAGTGTGTGCGCTTACCAGGTAATGACAGCAAGCCCTACGAGTATAAGTGTCGCAGAGGACGCCACCAGCGCCAGCCAGAAAACCTCACCCGAGGACGCCTTTCCCAGAGGCAAGACCTTCAGCCTCAATGCCATATTACACTCCTACACACATGGCACACACACATCCATGCCCTTCGCTCTTTGCTGCCATCCATCCATCCATCCATCGACTCGCTCACTGACCTGTGGCTTTGGGTCCTGAAAATGTGCGCAGATAACGCGTGTGATCTGCTCGGTGTCCAAGGGGCCGAAGTAGCGCATCTCGCTGATCCGAATGGCCATAGGGAACCAGGCGAGGGACGTGCGCTGCTTCTCGAGCAGGTCGGCGGCGTCTCTCTCGACGCACTGCCGCACGTCGCCCACAGGTGCACCCACAGATGCCATCAATCGGTAGGAGCACTCTTGCCCGAACGTTGTGGATGGATCTGCGTTGAAATCGCCACGTGGCTTGCACCTGATGGTTGCAGATGGATGCAACAGAGGGGTTGGCTGGGCTGGCATGCGTCTTCCTGCCTGCCTTCCGTGTGGTACCTGCGCGGCTGGTCCTGGGCGTACTTCCACCACACCTCCGAGTAGGCGCTGTCCCCATTTGCCAGACGGGTTTTCGTCACGTCCCACAGACACAGTTGCCTGAAGGCACCAACGAACGGGCGGGCGACGAGCGACAGTTGACAAATGCACCGGTTTCAGGAGGTCAACGTTGTTCGGCCCACCGGAGCGACTCATGGACAACGTCTCTGCCAGTGATGGACGGGGCGTGCCGAGGCGTCAGCGCACAGTACGTGCCCTCATCGTCAAGGCACATGTCAGGCGAGCCCTTGGCGAAAGAAAAGATCCAATACCTCGGCTCAAAGTCAAGCTGACATGTCACACACACACACACACACACACACAGGTCCGTGTGCGCCTCGCTCGGGAGTGCTGTCCTGTTCTGGCTCGTGTGTGTGGCTTGCCACCTTGGCTCACCCGGTGTTTGAGGGCCTGCGCGTAGCGTGAGAACTCACTGACAAAGTGCAGGCTCTTGGGTATTGAAGGCGTTATCCACATGTCCATGCAGACGCTGTCAACCTGCACCGCACCCAAGGGCACAACGTCCATGCGATATGAGCCGGCTGGGCTGCCCGCATCGCATCGCATCATTCACTCACTCACCACAGGGGCGTCCCAAGCCATCTTGACGAAGACGGTCTGATTGCGACGGAGGGCACCCAGGATGCGCTGACCCGCCGAGTGGGTCACTAGCACAGAAGGAATCCTCACGTGCGCGCCAGACCCATCTGCACACACACAGAAGGACTTACCTTGCGCACATGAAACCCTCTGTGCTGTGCAGGCGGGCATCTGCCTCTGTCTGTGGTCATTCATCTCACCGTCCGTCAGCATGGCGTGTCTGAGACCGTCCTCAGTCGCCCCGGGATCGCTGTCCACCACTATGACAGCGAAGGCGCGCTTGGCGTCCTGGGCGATGCGGACCTTGAGTGCGTCTGCGCAGTGGCCGCGGGTGACGAGGACAATGTGAGAGGTGTAGTTGGTCGTCCAGTTGCACTGGGGCACCGGTGGGAGGTCGTAGTCGTCCGCGTCGCAATACTGCTGATTGAGCTTGGACTCGGCGAACACGACACGGCCCACCGTCACCTGACCCTCAAACTGCACGAAAAGACACACGCACCGGACACATGAGTGAGTCGTGGGGGGCATGCACTCACAGCCTTCTGTCCCCCCTCTCTGTCTGTCTGTCTGTCTGTCTGTCTGTCTTACCGGCGTCCCAAACACGGCCGTGGCTCCCTCGATGACGCCCTTGGTGCTCTGGTAGGCCGCCTTGAGCTCGTCGGGCTCATGGATCTCTATCTGGGCCGCCTGGCACGTGCTCGCATGAAGGCAAGCGGCCACGAGGGAGGCAAGGCACACACGCATCTTGATTGATGATGGGGACGGCGAAGGGTCAGACGGGCGAAGGGTCAGACGGTGTCCACCAGAAGCTGTCGGTCATCAACGAACACCCCGCGGTGAGGTGAGAAGAGAGATCCCGGGAGATGACCTCCCCGAGATAGATCTGCCCTTCCGCTGTGTCTGGGGGCTTGACTATGGCCTGGGAAGGCCTTGAAAGTGTGGGAAAGAGTACAGAGGAACAAAGAGCCGATCGCTTTTGCGAGCTTAGAACTTGAAGGAAAGAGCTTTGTGAGGATGGAGGGCTTTGCAAGATATGTGGCATCTGCGCTAAAGAAAGTTCAGCGCAACATCGAAAAATGCGCCTCTCCATCGCCAGATCAGCTCGAAGACTTCCTGGAAACAACGGTCACGGCCATACGGCAGCTGACAGCCAAGGCTCCCGACGAGGTGAAGGACACCGTTGTCGACGCCTTCAGGTCATTCTGGCACGTGCGGCGCAACGAACCGATTGACGGCGGCGACTTGAGCGTCGACTCATTGCTGCGGGCACTTGAGGCCCTCCATGCGGCGTATCCAGTGCAGAACAAACACGCTGCAGATGGGGAGGAGGGCGGCGGAGCCCGGAAGCGGCCGTTGCGGGTGGCTGCTGCCGTGCCGACGGATGAGGAACTGGACGACCTCTCTCTGGCAGTGAGGAAGATGTGGCAGCTCGATGACAACCGGTGAGTACGGACGGCACGCCATCACGATGATGCGGGGAATCTGTCCTCATTCAATTCATTGTACAAATCGCCTGGTTGTGGGTGTGGTGTGGTGTGCAGGCTGACCCCCAATGTCGAGTACCGAATCAACCTGCAGGGCGGCAAGCGTGTGCATGACCGGCGGGACATGGCGAGCGACCACCTGATTGAGTACGTCAGCCCAGAGGCCTTCGAGCGCCCCACAGTCAAGGCCTTCATGCGTCTGCTGGACAACTATGTGCGTGAGGCTGGCGTGGAGGAGAGGGTCAGCAAGGCCGAGAAGAGGGAGGTCTGGGACTTCCTGCACGCCATCGGGGACACCGGACCCATGCAGTATCTCGCCAAGTGAGCTAGGGAGTGTGTGGGCGAGGGAATGGATTGCCCGCCTGACCAAACATGCGTTGTCCATCTGTCTGTGTGTGTGTGTGTGTGTGTGTGTCAGGTATGTGAGCATGAAGGGTGTGTCTGGTATTGACGACCTGGATGACCTGCTGGCGGAGATGCACCGCATGTGGTTCTCGCTCTACCGCAGAGAGACGAGGAGGGACTCATCGGGGTTCGAACACGTTTTCCTGGGCGAAGAGAAGGACGGAAAGGTGCGCGAACACACAACCACAACCGGCTTGTGTACACATCTTTCACACGTCGTGCGTATCCATGTGTCAGACGGTTGGCTTCCACAATTGGATCCAATTCTATCTGGAGGAGAGGAAGGGCCGCGTGGACTACCGCGGATACGTCTTGCCCAGAAGACGGGTAACCACCACACCACACCACACCACACCCTTCCCACGCCATCCTGTGGATCAGTCACACCCTGTCTTTGTCTCCTTTTGTGTGTGATGCATCCAGGGCCGCCCGAACGACTTTGCATCGGATGACGCCTCTGAGTTCCAGTTGGTGACGATCCAGTTTAAGTGGGAGGGCGACCTCAAAGGCGTCGGCAGGTCTGTCTGTCAAGCGACAAACACCCCCTGCATGGCATGCATGCGCTCAAACGACTCGCTTCCCTATCGTTCGTACTCCCCATGTTCTGTGTGCAGCATGTTCGTGGGCACGTCTCCCGAGTTTGAGATGGCCGTTTATTCCCTGCTGGCGCTGTTGGGCCGCGAGCGCCTGGAGGTGTCGCTGCCCCTCGGACCCGATCAGGATAACGTCATGGTCGAGGTGACGGTGCACACCTTCTCCTCGCGCTATGGCAAGAGGGTCTCGACGGCGTATCCATCCGCCGTAGAATGATTGATGGCTAGGCCAGCTTTTCTCGGTCTTTTGTAGTCGGCGTGCGTGTGCTGCGGATGTTTCGGTGTTTGTTTGTGAAGTCAGTCCAGCTGCACCTGTTCTCTGTGTGCGTGTGTATGTGTGTGGGAAGGACGCGACACGTTTTGACCAAGGGAGAGTATGTTTGTGGATTGGTCGGTCTCATTAATCAACCATGTGTCTGTCTGTCAGTGTTGTGTTCGCCGGAAGTCGATTGGTCCATCCATTCCTCACTGATTCCATCCATCCGCCCATTGCACGGACACCAACTGCTTGTCACGTGTCTGTCTTGCATGCCTTCTCGCCGTCGCGCACCAGCGCACTGCACTGCAGAACGTCTCTCTCAGGCGTCTGATGCACCATCTGCTCGAGTGGGATGATGTAGCTCCGCACCACTTGTTCCCCGGAGGGGGTTGAGGGGGTGGTTTTGAAGGTGTCGGCCCTGATCTGGAGGCCCACAATGCGGCTGCCAACCTCCTAACAGACAGACAGGCAGACAGGCAGAGGGGTGCACACACAAGTCTTCCTCTGTGCGTGCGCTTGTGCGCGCAAAGGCGTGGATTGACCGTGAGGATCTCTCGATCGAGTTGGTCCTTCTTGCAGAGGACAAACACCTGAACACACATCCGCACATGCCCCAACAGAATGCCATGGAATCGGATAGCCTGACTGACCGCCAATCCGACGGCTGGTGCCTTTGTCATGTGCTGCACCATACACACACACGTACATAATGATGGCCAGATGGAGAATAGAGCGCTGTCTCTGCTCACGTGGCCAACTCGGCAAAAGCGAAGGCTCTTGCAGGCGGCCAGTTCGCCAGGCCCCTGGATGCCGGCGGCTGGATTGCCTTTGATCAGCCCCGCGGGCCCTTCGTCGACGGCAGGGCACTCTATGATCCACGCAATCCACACGAGATCATAGAGGTGCTGTATGGATCCCGTGTACCATTCTGCTGATGCTTTTCGGTTTGTTGCTGTCCGCTTTGTTTCTTCTTCGGGCGGAAGACAGCGAAAGAAGGGCCCCTCTTCTCTCTCTTCTGCAGCACTTTGGCCATTTCCTCAGCCAACGGACCTGCGTGGTAGAGAGAAAGTGGTTGTCTATCCAGAGAGGCGTTTGTGCAGCCAACCGTTGTCGCAAAATGCTGTTGTCGAGAAGCGATAGTCACAGGTCTTCCCGTCCTCTGTCTTGATCGTGAAGGCGTCCTCTACGACGGTGCTGCCCAGCTCTCTCTCTCCCATGGTCTACATATAATACAAGTGCACGTGTCATGCCAAAGGTGGTGGGGTCTTCGTACGGCCATCATCTCTCTCCCACCTCCTGTCCGCTGCTGCAGTCGAGGAACTTGGCCTGCTTCTCAGGTAGCAACTCGAGGAGACACAGGCGCTTATCGCCGCATGGGCGTTTTTGAAACTGGCCCTTTCGACTCAGGCTGTGCTTCACTGCAAGATTGTCCTGGGGAGGGCACGCTGCGGCGCAAAACGGTTCGTAAGGAATATCTTTTCCCGAGCTGTGCTTACACGGGAGAGCGTGGGCCAGTGTGGCGTTGTTCAAGGCATCGTGGTGCTGGCTGCGATGAGTGGATGCAACAGAATCGAAGGCTGCGAGTGCCGCTGATCAGACCATCCAGACGGCAAGGCATCTCAGGGAATTGGATGAGCGGCACCATCTTACCTTGGAAAAGAACAAAGAGAACGAGCCCCGCAGCCGGCATGGGACCAGCAAAGACAGTTTCAAATTGAGACGGGTTGGCCCATCAGCCCCCATGGTGCATGCATTTACACAGGACACAACCACCAGGCGAGGTAGCAGACAGAGTTGTGCAAACGGCGGAGGGTGTAGCTGGCTGCGTCCATGTCGACGATGCTGTCGTTCGCCGACTTCACGGCCTCCACCATCGTATCGCTCTCTATGACCGTATCCTCCGAGATTGGCGATAAGACATTCTTCATTGCCATGTAAGACAAGCAAGGAAGGAACGCCGCTATACAGTGTGCACCATCTCGTGGCGGCGGCTCGATACACATACTGGAAGAAGATGCATTCTGTGTGCGTGTGGGGCGATGTCCTGCAGGCTGCTGGCCCGGGAGATGTCGCAGTTGATGGTGTTTTGCGGCACCATGGCTGCGTTGGTGGTCATGACGGTGATATCAGTGGTGATGGGGGCGGCCGTCCGCACCATCCCGCAGCTGTTCCACGTGGCGTCCGTGTGGGTGGGGTACCTCTCGGCCCTGCTGTTCGTCGTCTTCGGGCTGCAGGAGCTGTATGTGGCGGTGCGCAGGCCTGAGCACCAGCAAGAGTCGCTCAAGGAAGCCGAGGAGACCATCGAACTCCTCCACACGCCCACCACTCATGTGAGAGAACAGACAGACAGACAGACAGATGGATGGATAATCGGATGGATGGATGGATCTGGATGGACGAAGATGACTCCCCTCTCTCCGTGTGCGTCTGTGTGTGTGTGTTTGTGTTAGAAGACCTCCGCCTCTGCTGCTGCGATGCGGCTGTACGCCCTGTTCTGCATGGCGTTTGGCGTGATATTCCTGGCAGAGTGGGGGGACAAGTCCATGATATCCACCGTGGCCCTCGCCGCCACCTACAACGCGGGGGGCGTCGCAGTCGGGGCGGTCATCGGACACGCCCTGGCCACCGTGCTGGCCGTGGTCATGGGGGCTTTGGTGCAGAAGGCGCTGTCGCAGCGGACCATGTCCTTCATCGCCGGCGTCCTGTTCCTGCTGTTTGCGGCCCTGACCTTTTGGGACACATACACGTCGAGGCAGTCGCGTGTAGAGGAGATGCTGCTGGTGTGGATGACGTCGGGAAGGAGGAGGGAGGGCGACGTCGGATTCACCTGATATGGATGGCAGGGTGGGTGGCAGGGTGGCACGTAGTAGATAATGCGCAGCGGACAGAAGACGTGTGTGTGTGGCATTCACTCGCTGTACAGTGCGACCCTCCCTCTCTCTCTCTCGCTGCGTACGCGTGTGTGGATGGAATTAATGGACATCGTTTTCATGATGTCGCGTGTGTATGTGTGTGTGTGTACAATCAACATGCCCTTTCATGTCATGTGTTCGCGAGAAATGCACACCACCATCGCAAGAAATCGTTGAGCAGGTCACACCGCCACACTGACCGACCGACCGACTCGCTGATCCCCCCTCAACCCCCCGAAAAGAGTTTCAAATGCACATGCGAAGAAGACACACGCGCCAATAGCGGGTGCATGGAGGGATTCCCCATGGAAAAACAAACAGCAACACGACGCGTCATCCACGCATCATGCATCGTCCATGACACTGTCCCATCGTGTGTGTCAGGCTGACAGGCCTTCAGCCGCAAAGGCGGGAAAAAACACAACCGCACGAAAGCGCAGCCGCACACAAACATCTTCTCCTTCTCGCCCCCCGACGCGTGTTTGTGCCCCCGAAATGCGCGTCGAGACAACGGCCTCAAAAGCTCAATCGGTCGTAAGCTTCAGAGCTCCTTGCCCCTCCGCTCACAACAGGGACACTCATCCGCGACAGATAGGGGAAAGCCATTCACAACCGCACTGATGGCACAGCCCAGCACGAGACAGAGATGGATCCCAATCAACAGCACCATACATAGCCGTTTATCTCCTCATGGCGGCCCATCTCCTCCGGCTCTTGTAGGATGCCCTGTTGTACTTGCGGCTCCTGTAGGCACGCTGGGGCTGCCACCGACACTCATAGCCACCATCTCCGTCACCACTGACCGCCTCACCCACGCCGCCCACGTCCCCATCCCTCTCTTCATCCCTCTCCTTCTCCCTCACGCCGCCATCGTCAGCAGCACATGGTGGTGAGACGTCCCCTTCTGGTGGACCGGCAGCCGGCCGGCTCTCACGCCCCCTCTCATGATTGAGCGCATCGGCAACGGCGGGCGTCAGGATGAACCGCTCGTCCTTCCTGGCGGCGTGCGGCAGCACCAACGGGCCGACTGAGCCGACCGTGGGAGGCCGCTGAGCGGCCGGTGCAGCGACAGTAGATGGGAAGGAGGGGAGGGGCTGGGAGGGAGGGGAGCTGCTGTGGGTGAGCTTGTACACCTGCGGCTGCTTGGAGAGGCCCTCCCACAGCCGCAGCTGTGGGTGGTTGGGGTTCACGATGTGATACAGCCGCGCTGTTCCGGACATCCGCACACGACGATGCATCTCCAATGGGCCTGGCCAAAGCGCAGAGGATCGGGGGCGTCGGGAGGGAAAAGTCCTTCGAACCTCCTGAAAAAATGCGAGCTCAAATGCAAACCCTTGCTTTGATCGGCATTCGAGAAAGTGGCAAAGAAGGCGCGAGGAGATTATCTCCAGATCTGAGGATGCTGTAATGTCGATTGGCACTTAGAAACAGCGAAGATCTGATGGCTGCGCACGCGCCAGGCTGGTCACTCTTGAGTGGCTCATACGGCGATACCGAAATCGGTAAGCGATGACGCTGGTTGACAGACTGACGGACGCTTGATGGCGCTGTTTGTGTTCGGCTGGCTTTCTGTGTGTCTGTTTGTCTGTCTGTCTGTCTGTCTGTTGGTCAAGCGAGAGAATACGTCTTCCCAACCCACGTGCCGGAATGGACAGGTCAGTCAAGTCAAAGCAACGACGGGAGATGTGAGCAAGGGCCATACCATCCAATACGTGCATCTGGCTCTCCTGTGTGTCTGTGTGCAGGCAACCGCCACTACGAGGCGATGCATTTCTGCTCTCTGCGGATTCTGCAGTCGTCTCACCCGCCCGCCCGGCTCTCCCGCCTCTCCACCGCCCTCCACAGCAGCCCAGCAGACAGGCTGCACCTCTCATTCGACGATGAGAAGAAGGCACTCAAGGTAGGTCGGTCAGCGAGACGAGACGAAGGCCGGCAGGCTCTGCGTGCAGCCATGTGTATGGCATGCGATGCGTGTGGTTAATTGATTGATTCAGAGGTTGGATGAGGTCAGGGAGGAGATCCGGAAGGAGGAGGGCCTCAGAGAGGAAAGAAAGTGAGTAAGCCATAAACAAAGCAATTATCGCTGATATCAGCGCTACACGCATCCATTCTTTCATCCATCTCGCGTTGCGTTGCGTTGCGTTGCGTTGCGTTGCGTTGCGTTGCGTTGCGTTGCGTTGTGTGGTGTGCACTGCAGGCTGTCGAAGGAAGCAGCATTGGAATGGTACATACGTCCACTCCACTCACACATGCGGACTCACAGTGGCATCACATCAATCCGTTCTCTTCTTCTCTGGTGCTCGCTCGATGCCACGCGTGCAGGGAGCAGAGCGCTCCTGACGCATCGCCAGCCAGCAGGAAACGCCAAGAGGTACGTACCCCCACCACACACAGGCAGCCACACACACCGATGCGCCGCCGCGTGTTCAATGTGCTCGATACATCAATCACGTGTGTCAGGAGAGCCGTCAGCAGGCTGAAGAGAACAGGAAGGAAGCCGGTACGCAGTGACTTACCAGACAGCAGATAGCCGGCCACATGAAGCGCAGGTGAAACGGTGTGTGTGTGTATGTGTGGTGGCCGCAGAGAACGAGAAGAAGATCAGTGAGGTGATGCAGATCACGGGGTCCAACAGAGGACAGGCCGTCTTCTTCCTCACAGAGAAGGACTGGGACACTGCGGTCAGCCACACACCGAAACAACAACAGCAACACCCACACCCACACACACACAGAGCCGCTGGGTGCGTTGTGTGTTGTGTGTGTGCAGGCCGCGTGTCAGTTCTTCTTTGACCAGAAGGTGGGCGGCCATGACGAGCAAGGCTGCCGTCTGATGCGACATGTCATCTATCCATCCATCTCTGTTGGTTCAGGAGTCCGAGCGTCAGACTGAGGATGTGACGTTGGCCATCACCATGCCGGCCGGCAACGAGGTCTCCACGACCATGACACTCGACAAAACGGTGCGTGTCACGACATGGCTGCCCCTGTGGGATCCATCGATGGGTGGATTGGTCAACGGAAATATCTGTGGTGTGTGTGGTGTGGTGTGCTCGCCTGCAGGCGTGGGACCTCAAGAGCTACATCTATCAACACATGACCGACAAGTAGACGCACACGATTGATGACTGCATCCGTGTGTGTGGTGCGCTATTTTGTCTTGTCGCCAGCCGTCCGTTCCGGATGGAGTATGGCGGTGTCAACCTTGGCGAGAGCGAATACGCCAAGTCACTCCGAGAACTCAGTGAGTCAACGTTGCAACACAACACACAGACGAGCCGCCAACACACCTTCTTTCTCGTGTGTGTGCGCCGTCAGAGTTCCCTCGAGGCGGTGTGGCGAAGGTCAGAGCCGCGTACACGTGACGGACGATGGGCGGCGGCAAGGGCGTCATGCCAAGGGGCTTTGTTTTGGACCGATGAGATCTTTATCGATGAGCGAATTGCATGCCCGGTTTTTGGTGTCATGATGTGCGAATCGCAGTGTGTGTGGATGAATGAGGTTGTGAGTGCTTCTGCGCCTTTCTGGCCAGGACCTCCATCAACGAGCCATACACTGTGGACTGAGTGTTTGGCTTGCTCATGGACGGCCAGGTAATGTCAATCAAGGCACCCACAACTCATCCCTGTGGCTGTGTCGCATTGTTTATAAAGTTCATGGTCGGCGTCATTATGCCATCGATATCAGACAGAAATCAAACCATGGCATTCATCAAGAGCAAACACATGTATGTCCAGTAGGTTGAGTCAGTCAAGCCAGTGGAATCAGACACAGTGTCTGATACACACGCACACACGCCAGGGAGCACCGTACTCTTACCCATCACCTACACACATAGGCGCCATCCATCTCTACTATATGTCATCTGGCGGGCACGTAGTAGTCATCCTCAGTGCAGGTGAGGCCCGTCATGGGACTCCGCCAGGTCGTCGCGTCATCGGCCTCGTCAAAGCTCATGTGGCGCGTCACCACACACCTGACGGCACCACACACACTGTTTCACATCTCCACGAGCATCGGATGGCTTTTGTGTCTCACCCAGGATGCTCTCGGTCATACTCGCCGCAGCACGACCAGAAGAACTCCAAATCACTGGTGTCGACATCGTTGACGCGATTCAACCTGCACACACCACGGCAGCAACAAGCCTCTACGCCCCCATCCACATACCCGTCTCACATGCCCCTCCCTCCCTCCCTCCCTCCCTCTAGACCTGCCCTCCGTCCCTTCTCACCTGCCGGAGAAGACGCCTGCGTGGTAGCAGCATGCCAGGGAGTGGTTGTGCTCCGGCACAAACGACCGCTTGCACTGACGACAGGTTGCCGGGCGGGAGAGGCCAGACTCTGCGTGGACACGCACGAAAACCACACCCCAAGATAGATGGATAGAAAGATGCCCGCCCATGGGCTGGCTGGATGCACCCGTACCGTCTGGGAGGCTGTTGTGCCGGACCAGGCAATGCAGCTCCGTCAAGAACGCATACACACCTGCCAGAAACATACAAGGGAGACAGACCATCTGTGGGGGGTGTCGACGCATGCAGCGCGGCTCACTGTGTAGACCTGAGAGATTCTCAGCCGGATCAGCTGATGCCCGCAGGCGCAGCGCGGCCCTCAAGTGGTCATCGCTGCTCCGTCCATCACCGATGCACTCGTAATAGAGACCGAGATAAAAGTGAATCATCTGCTGCAGATCGGCGAGCTCGTCGTCGGCTGGTGGAAGCCCTTCAGCCTGTGTGGACAATACACACAGAGGGAGCAATCGACACCACCATCACACTTCCTTCCCCTGCGTGTGGCTGGCCTGCCTCACGAAGCGGTAAGTGTGTCCGAGGTTCTTCAGAGAGGACTGCCGACCCCTGAACAGCTCATGCACCATCGCCAGCGCCTCCTCACTCCTTCCGCCGCTCCCATCCACCAAGCTCTCGCCGAGTGCGCCGACACCCGCCCTGCCACGAGCCTTGACCCGCCCCTCCCTCCCATAGACACACGCCGCCTCCCACACAGCATTCTCAATGCTCCTCGGACCGGATTGTGTTCTGAATGCGGCCATGGCGTTGATGTAATCGTTGGCGTGGAAGAGCGCGATGCCTTCCGGGCTGATACCGACATGGTCGGTCATCTGTTGAAAGGTGGATGCAGCCTGCCGGGTGTCCTTGGCGCGGATGAGCTGCGCCGCTTCATTTGCAGAGGGGGCTGCCATTCTGACGCCGCTCCTCGCCTTCGCTCTCGTTGATCTGCAAAGGCGAGGCGCATGCTCAGAGAGAGGGATGTCTGTGAGTGCATTGATAGATACTTTCGTGTGTGTGTATGCTGTTGCTCGCGCACCTGATAAGCATCCCGTGAGGCCACCCAGATGCGCTGCTTCGATGGATGAAAGCCGCGTCCGCATGGAGATGCAGGACGAGGGCGCACGACAAGAGATATCGATGGCAGCCCATCTCACAGCCTTCATCATGGCGTCATCGCTGCGATTTCGTCGTGACGGTGGGGAGAGAGGGCGACTCCATGGCAAACTCCTTTTCGTCTTCCAGGCGATCACTCCTTGCGCGCTTTGAGCCAAAAAGGGGCTTCTTCAGAAAGGCCCCCAGGGAAGCGAAGGCATTTTGTGCCATCATCGAGGAGCCGAGCGCCTCGCCGTAGCTGAAGCGGAAAGAAAACGATTCGGGACAAATGGTGTGACGTAGACGGCTGCTGATACAGGGAAGCCGCATTCATCCCCCATGAAGGTGAGAAGGCACAGAGAGAGACCCGCAGCGCCTCAATGAATGAATGCCGATGCACCCATCCCATTGTCCTCCTCTCTTCGTCTCATCTGCTCTGCTCTGCTCTCCTTGCCATTGATCAATCAGTTGAGTGAGGCGCTTGAGCGTTGTGCGGCGTGCACGCCTGAGAAGATAGCCCTCAACGGGTGCGACATCTCCGTCATCGACCCCGTCCCCCTGTCCTTCACCAACTGCACCCGGCTGCAGCTCAGCCAGAACCAGATATCCAGCCTGCAGGGGCTCTCCCAGTTCAGGAGCCTCAAGAAGCTGGCTTTATCGCACAACCTTATCACCGACGCCCGGCAGCTCGACTGCATCCCCAACCGGCTGAAGCTCGAGTACATCAGCCTCATCGGCAACCCTATCGCTAATTTCCCGGACTATAAGGTGAGTCAGGTGGGCAGGCGCATTGCATTGCGGTGCATTCCGGATGGATGGATGGATGCGGGGCCCTCTCTCGTTGTTCTTGTGCGTTGACTCAGTTGCGTATACTGACATTGTTTCCGAGCCTGAAGGAGCTGGATGGCTTCACCGTCACCAACGAAGAGAGAGAAGACGTCAGGGTGAGATGACATGAGATGAGACCTATGGAATGGACCACCCAACCGACTGACGCACCCATCCCATCCCCCCACCCATCCCCTTCTGTGTGTCCCCCCCAGGATGCGTCTGCCCTGGGCTCCCTCATTGTGCCCTTCGCCGCGCTCCAGCAGCGGCGCCTTGAGCGCTTGGCCAGTGCCTGTCATCGGCTGGCACTCAAGCGGGAGCTCTACGAGGCGGCACATAGCGGCTTCAGTGTCTTCCGATCGCATGACTGTGAGCCCCCCACTGTGGAGGAGGAGCTCATGAGGCAGCAACGGTCGGTGAGAGCCAGCCAAGGGATGCAACGAGTGCAGGCAGGCATTCAGGGGTGCGTCTGTCCGCTGTGTGTGTGTTGTGTTGTGTTGTGTAGTGAGTTGGGTCGTGCGGTTCATCTGCCGTGTGTGCCGAATCTGCGGCAGGACAAGGCCATACGCCCGTGGACACTACTCAGGTGGATATGCTGCCAGGCCGGTCAGTGAGTGGCGCAGTGAGTGAGGCAGTGACCCAATGGGAGAAATGCGTCCGCATTCACCCCCTCTCTCTCTCTGTGTGTGTGAATGTTATCAGCCGACTTTCCCTGGGACGACGCAAGTCTGACAGGCAGTCACGGGTCTCGTGTGCCTTCATTGGACCTCCCCATCGCGCCGCATTTCGGCCTGCAACTCAACCCATTCGCCGTCACAATCAGGTGGGTACCACCATCCTCACCAAACCCTCACAGAGATACATGCAGGAGACATCGGCTGTATGTTCCTGGCCTCCTGTCTATCTATCAGCGAGCTGCTCGCCGTCAAGCGTCACCTCCGGACGCATCTTCTCTCCCGTCTGCCCGAGGGCTATCGCCGCAGATACGCCCAGGCCATCACGCCCAACCCCGCACCGCCACACCACCTCCCCTACCCCCTCCCCTCACCCACGCTCAACGTGCCCCCGCAAGCGGCCAAGGGCGATAGGGTGGTCCGCACGGGAGACGTGCTGGCGGGGCTGTTTCCCTACTGGCGATGGCACTATGAGCTGTATGCCGGTGTGGAGAAGGAGGTGCAGCTGCCGGCGGGGACGGTGACGGGGGCGGCGTGTGCGGTGGCCTTCATGCCCATATTCCCTAGCGAGAGGGCCTTCATGCGGGTGGGTGAGAGTTGTGGCTTCTATGCACATGGGAATGAGGACGTGTGTGTGTGTGTGTGTGCTGCTTTGTGTCCATCCATCAGGCGTTGTATGAGATCTTGGACGACCAGCGGCAGCAGCTGCTCGCATTGGAGAAACACAGAGTGGAACTGCTCAGGTGAATGACAAACAGTCCACTGCAGTGCACCACATTCACTCGCGCCCCCAAATGCATCCGTCCTGTCGGTCTGTGGATTTATCAGGATTGACACCTCCCCCCTGCTGACCCACCAGCCGTCCTGGCGGCGGCCACCGCTCCCCGCCACCCCCATGCCAGCAATCACCCTCATCAAGCGCACCCCCCTCTCGTATCTGCCGCCACACACCCCACCCACCACACCAGCAACGGCAGCAGCAACAGCAGCTGCACCGGTCGCAGACAGCCTCCTGGTCGACCTCTCGGCCCTGACGCTGACCTTTCCCCAGCTGATGGAGCTGCCCACGCCCGTGCTGGACCGGCTCAGCCTCAGTGAGCTCAGATATCCCGCCGCCAGAGGGGAGACCCTCAAGCGCATCAAGAGGGAGAAGGCCGGCACGAGACACGTGTTTGCGACGAGAGATAGAGATCAGCAGCTGACGCTCATCAGCGGGGCTGACCTGGAGAAGCTTCACGACCTGGCGGCCGCCCGACACAGGCTGGAGGGGACGACAGAGCAGCTGCTGCTGCCGCCCTCCCCTCCCCAGACCACCCTGCCCACATCGGTCGACTTCCCAGGCGGCCCACTTGACGCACACACACGCCCCATTGAGCGTGCGGAGCCCAAGACCACCACCATCGCCCCAACGGTGCCATCCGTGCTGCCAGAGAAAGCTCCACGCACGCAGCAGCAGCAGCAGCAGCAGGAGCAGCAGCAGGAGGCGGACGGAGGAGAGAGTGAGAGATACGAGGGTGAAGAAGAGGAGACCATGGGCGCGCAGACGCTGCTGACGGCGACCACGCCCATGGGTGCAGAGACAACCCCCATGGGTGGAGAGGCGGAGAGGGTCGGAAAGGGCGGGCTGGCGTGGCAGAAGGGCCACACCAAGGCGGGCGAGCACTACGCTCCGAGGGCGGAGGGCCTGACCCCCGACACGGGCAAAGACACAGACAAGGCGCCACCCACATTCGGTGAGCATCGGATGGCTACACACACTGACATGTGTGATGTGATGTGCACCTGTTGCCTCCCTCCTTTGTCTCTTTCTGCAGGCATCTCTCCCTGCCGCGGCATGGACCCCGAATCGCAGTTCCAACCATCCAGCGCACCACCACCCGACGCCAAGGCATCCCTCAAGCTGCCGCCACCCTCATTCGCCGACCGTCAGGCGACCGACGAGCAGTCAATCGTCTCGGACACCAAGGCCGCGCCAGATCCTATGCTCAAGAAGAAGACCACCGACTCGCCCAAGAACCGAGCACCGTCCGCGCACCCCATGGCGAAGGACACGACGGGAGGAGGAGGAGGAGGGAAGAAGGTCCCCGGCCCCTCACCCTCACGTGTGTTGGGCTACGCGTCTTATCGTGACGCCTTCTCGCGGCAGACGACCATGGGCGGGAGGAAGGCGGCCATGACGGCATCAGCAGCGGCGTCGCTACGACGTGCCGTATCGGCGGATGGGACTGGAGGCGGCAAAAGGGACAGGGTGGCCAGAAAGGGAGGCGCCGATGAGGCTGACATGGCGCCGCTCGAGCAGCCGTCGCCCATCCGAGACTCGACCCCCACGGCCACTCGTCAGCCGAAGGAGGCCAAGAAGCCCTCACCAGTACTAAAGGTGAAAGAGGCGCCCAAAGCTGCACCAGCACCAGCACCGCCATTGGCCAAGACGGCTCCAACCAAGACCGCCCAGCCACCACCGCCCGTCGCCAAGACCAAGGCCACCGCCCCTCCCAAGAAGACAGCTCCCAAGGCGCCTCCGCCCGACCGCTTTCCATCGTTGCAGGACCTCACGACCCCTTCACCGACAAGAGAGCGGCCTTCTCTTCCTCCTGCTTCAGATCGCGATGTCGACAGAATGCGTGGCGTGGAGGTGCGGAGGATCTCTGACGACGAGAGGGCCCCGGATCTTGAGTACCCGCCTCCTCAGGAGGAAGGGGCAGAGGAGGAGAGGGGACGGGGCGGCGTGGACATCGGCCATGTGCCTAAGCCCATGATGCGGCATCCGCGTGACGAGCTGCCGCTGGAGGAGGACTTTGCATTCCGCAGGGGCCACACAGAGCCGATGGCCATGCGCCGGTCGATCAGGGAGCTGCGGGAGGAGCTGGGCCGGCAGATGAGCGAGATCGCAGCCAGAGGGGGTGGGGGCCAGGCTCTTTCGCGCCCCCATCCCCATCACCGCAGCGCGTCCTTCTCCGAGCGTCTTGCAGAGCTCAAGGCGGACCTCAACCGCCTGATTGCCAACAGCAGCAGCCGCAGCTCGTCGCGCCAGCCGACGGCCCGACAGGCATCCCACGCCGTCCCGCCCTTCCCAAGCGACTCGCCGCCATACTCGTACCCACCACGGCCGGCTGACCGCCGCTTGCGAGAGCACGAGGAAGAGGCGATGGGGCCAGGTGTCATCCCTCCCCATTGGGCGAGTTATGAGGGCTACGAAGGCCCCCCCACGTCAGTCGAGGTGGAGACATTTGCATACGGCCAGCCGGGCGAGACCGTCACTTCTGTTTCTGTCCGCTCCCCATCGCCCCCGGCACACTACGACACGGAGGTCAATGTCGATGTCCAGAGTTCACACAGCTCACTCCCCAGCCCGCGGCGCTCTGATCGGCCTCAGGTCATCCCACCCCCGCTCCCGGCTGCAAGAGCGTCGTCACCCGGCCTGTTGCCGAGACGCCCATACCCCCCACCGCGCGAGTACTTCGAGCCAATGGATTTCCCTCCAGCGCCGGACAGCGGCCATGGTCCGTGGCAGACACCGTTCCAAGCGGTGCGGGAGAGGCTGGGGCTGCCACCGAGCTCGTCTCGACGGCAGCCTGGCGATTCGACGCCGGTCGCCCCCGCCCCGGGTGGAGGGTATACCAACTCGATCTACTATGCCTTCCAGCCCTCGACACCCCCGCCCTTCCCCCCTGCAGCGGACTACTTCCACATCGACGAGGATGACCTCTCCCTTACACCCTCGCGCAAGAAAAAGGCTGCCTGTGTGACGCACCACCCGACGCTGCTGACCAAGATGGGCCCTACCCCGCCACAGATCTGCACCGTCTACATGCTCCAGGCCAATGGCGGCAACAACGGCAAGCAGCCGACTGCTGCGGCGGGCAAGGAGGCGAGCATATCGTCCTCATCGCTGGGGTCGCCCCAGCATTGGGAGAGTGGCAGTCGGGAGACTGGCTTGTCGCCTGGCGTGGAAGGCGGCAGAGAGGATGAGTCCAGGGATGATGGCGAGGCCAGCAATGAAGACACATCGGCGGAGAAACAGGTCAGGCAGGAGAGGAAAACATCCAAGTCCATCCGCTCACTCCTAGTTGTGTCCACTGACAGGTTTCCGATGTCTCCCCGGAGACCCCTACGGCCGCCCCGCCGCAGCCCGCCCTTCATGTGCTTCCGCCTCCGCCATTCGCCCAGCCCGCCCCCCCGGCAGACAGCGTCGCACAGAGCATCTACTTCACGCCCCAGGCGGGCCGACTTACAGCGGATGATCGTGTGGTGGACGAGCTGCTGTCGCCACCCCAGTCTGAGCCGAGGCAGCCACAACCATCCATGAGTCTTCACGAGATTCTGATTCAGGTGCGAACGAAAGGGCCTCTCATTCCTCTTGAGGCGATTAACGACCTCTCTGTCGTCCGTCTGCTTGGTTCAGGAGGGTCGCCAGCGTGCGATGGCGCAGAGCCCTTACAGCCCCCCGGCAGTCCAGAGCCCACAAAGGGATCGAGAGAAGGAGTGCAGGGGTGGTGATGCGACACATGCCCATGCCAATGGGCGCGTTCCCGTTCCCCCGTCATCTGGGCCATCCAGCCCCCCACCCAGAAAAGCCAAACGTACGCCCCCGATGCACTCGGGGCGCCCGATGCACGCAGAACACCTGAAAGGATGTCGTTCTCTCATGTGTGTCATTGGTTTCTACTGCAGCTGATGTATCTGACGTTGAGGAGCCGCGATCGCGCCCCGCGGAGTCCCCTGTCATAACGCGTCGCTTTCACGAGCTGGACCGTCCAATGAGGTACTGGTCAAGGATGCTGGCTCGTGACTTCGTGACTTCGTGCTTCGTTCGTCCCGTTCCTGTTGCTCAGGCCTGATGGGGATGCGCTCGGTGGCGGTGAGGCGCTGGCCATGCCCATGCGGCGTGAAGGCAGGGAGCCGCTGCGACTTGACGAGGCCGCATACCACCGATGTGAGAGAAAGAGGGGGATCGTCACACACAGCGGACACATGACCCAGTGGTTGTCCTTTTGTTGTGTCAGGGCAAGGCCGCGAGCCCCACAGGCTGACAACCACCGAGCGGCGTCTGACACCCCCCGGCCTCTCGCCTCCCTACCTCCGTCTGGACGGCACCATCAGCCCCCGTCTGCCGTCAACACAGCCGTCCCCCAGCCCCCTCATCGCTGCACCCAGGGCCCACTTCCACCGCCCCCTAACGATAGAATCGCCCACTCTGCCACCTCCCTCGACGCCACACCTGGCAATCAAGGACAAGAGGGCGCGCGGCAGAGAGGCCGCCAAGGACAGGGGCAAGGACACACGAGAGCCGCGGCTGTCACCCCCACACGAGCCCAAGCAGCCAGTTGCAAGGAGGGCCCCATCGCCTTATTCGGCCTTGCGGGGCGTGGCCCTCGATACGGATCGGCAGATTGCGTCAGCCCGGTATCCGTCAGCCCGACTGCCTGATGGCGGGTCAGGGCCCATGACTATGCGGTCACTGCGTGAGGAGAGCGGGAGGATGAAGGAGAGCAGGAATGTGGGGGTGCAGGTGCGGGTGAGGGGGGCCGCCAGCCCGGCGGCCATTGGCGCCGATGTGCACCCGAGGATCCGACACCCTCCACCAGGTGCCTTGCACTGTGTTGGGGATGACCGCACGGCTCTGATGTGTGTGTGTGTGTGGATGGCAGGATTGTGGAGATCGTCTCTGCCGTTTGAGCGTGATGTGTGTGGCGACGAGGAGGCCATGATCGAGAAGCGCTTCCTCGCCGAAACCGAAAGATACCCATGGTCTCGCTTCTTCAGGAAGCCACACATGCACCAACGACAGGCTGGTGTCATGTCCCTTCTCGCCAACACACTCTCTGTGTGTGTCTGTCTTTTCGCTAGTTGTGCCGAGCTGGCCGGCAGCCGTCGCATCGTGGTCACAACCCATCCCCAGCACCCCTCCCGCCCCCCCAAGCGACCCATCAAGCCCCGATCACGATCCACATCCCGTCCGCGCCCCCGCAGCAAGGGTGCGGGCAGCCGCCCTCGCCCGATCTTCATCCCCACCGGCACACGACCCGCATCAATCCCACGCGACCCGCCCACCCTACGAGCCAAGTCGCCCGCACCGGCAGCAACAGCTGCTGCTGGCAGGGAGAGGGAGACGGGCGGTCGGCATCGCGGGCAGTCGCCTCTGCGATTGGCGCCGCGGCAGCGTGTGATAGTTGAGAACTACATGGGTGACGGGCTGCCTTTGGAGGAGGCGCTTGAGCGAGTGCACCGTGACCCGAGTGTGTTCTTCCTTGTGACGATGAGGGGCAACGAGTCGCCCAGGAAGCGATGACTGACTGACAGATAGGGATGGATGGATGGCCGGACAGATGGACGGATGAGAGCCTGTCTGTATGGATGTGTGCATCCGTCGGTCGGCGCCGCTGGTGTGTGCGTGAGCTCTTTGTGTGGTTGTATAGTGCGTGGCCGGATGGGAATTAGAGACATCGTGTACGGTGCTTGAATTGAATCGGTTGGTGGACATGAAGCGACAGACGCTCACTCAGTCTGTATTGACATCCATCCATCCATCCGTACAGCACAGAGACAGCAAGTTGAATACACTACAAGCAAGTGTCTGTCTATCTGCCGGTCATGAATGGCCGTCCTCTCCCCCTCATCGCCTCCCTATTGGCCCTTAGCTACCAGGTCCAGCGTGAGTACACAGGACCCCAGAAAGCTTTCCTCTTCTTCCTCCCCCTCCTCCTCCACCTGGCACTGGACAGTGAGGCTCTCAAGCGAGTACGAAGCCATGACCCGCTCGAAGCACTCACACGCCAATGCACGCAGCTCCTTCTCTGCATGGGCTATCTGCTCCTCATCTGACGCACCCTCCTCGCCTAGCTGACACTCACTGGGATCGAGTGGCAGACTCAGATGCGCTTTGGACGGTCGCACGTGGGTCACAACACTCGTCACCAACAAGGCCTCATCTTTGCTGAGACCAATCCCATCAATGCCATCAAACGACAGCGATGCCACGGCAGGGCGTGTGTGTGGTGGGTATGTGTCAGGCAACGCACGCACGTGATGGCCAAAATCGAGCCGGAGCTTATCTAGGCGCTCAGTGGGCAGGAGAGGCAGGCACTCAGAGAAGACCCAGAGGTCAGAGGTGCTGAACTCGACTGATCTGACGTGGCGCAGGCTGCCTAGCAGTGTGCCAAGTTTGTTGGGGCCGGCAGGAAAATGCCAGGCGCCCTCAGGGGGTTGGGAAAAGTGAAACAGATACGCCAGCCTGGACTCGAGGTGCTCGACTGCAGGAAAACACACGTTGTTGCCGGCCTCGTCGACCGCCGTCATGAATGGGGGAATGCTGTCCGACACGCTCTGCACGCTCTGCTCGTCAATGTCATCCATCCATTGGATAATGTGCAGCTGCCGCACGTTGGGAAAGTTGAGCACGTCCTTCCACGACTCGTCCAGAGGCGTGCCGCCACACCACAGCCACACCTGAGACGAAGGCAGCCATACATACGAACCATGCGATTTGTTCCTTGTCTGTCCATTCGTTATCCCACTTACCCTCTCGGCTTGTTTGGCGAGTTGGTTGACCACGTCAGCTACAGGGCCACGCACAGCAGGGAAGACAGTCGACGGCTCCTTGCTGCAGTCGACCGTCATGGAGTTGCCGCGGTTCAGCCGCCACTCGACCGTGGCGCCGACCTGTCGGGCCCACGCGAGAAAGTCGGGCAGGGGGCGGGTCAGGTCGCCCAAGTTGTGGCCGACGGGGCATTCGTACACCAACTCGATTGTCTTGACCACTCCTGATGGATCGATGATAGAAACACAAGGCATCAATCAGTGCATCAAGCATGTCACTACGGACTTCGTCTGTCACTCACCTTGCATGTCCGGTTTGCTCCAGTGGGGGTCCAGAGACCTCTGCAGCTCAGCCAGATGACCATCCCTCAACGCACACTTGTCGACGGCCAGCCCACGGATGGTGGTGAGGCGACTGCACTGGCCAAGGGCAGCGATGAGGTGGCTGCCGAAACAGCTGATGTTGCCTGTGAGTGTCATGAGCTGAGGGGAGGAGCTCATGATGTGGGTGAGGCCCCCGAGGGCACCAAGAGCGACGCGGAGACCTCGGCAGTCTTTGAGGGCAGGGAAGGTCCACATGGCTTCACTGCAGAAATCAACAACACACAGATGAATATGTGTGCATGGTCAGCCAGACTCACCCGAAGTATCCGATCCACTCGTCGCATTCCACGTGCAGGTTGGTGAGTGCCGTGAAGGCCACCGGAGGGGACGCACGCAACGGCGAACGGCGACTAAAGTTGAAGTTCCCGAAACCGCGGTCGATGTAAAGGTGTTTGAGGGATGCCTTGGCCTTCGCCAGACATGTCGCTATGAAGGAACGACGGCGCGAGTTGTAGTCCTTGCATGGTCCTGCAGATGCCGGGATGCGGGCTGTCGTGACGTTGCCCTGACCAACAGACAGACAGACAGACAGACAGATCCACACACATGTCTGAGTGTCGTGGGCGGATGTGCGCGGCACGGTGTGGGTCTCGCTCACCAGTTTGCCCTTCAGGCGTTTTTTTGTGGCCAGATCGAGGTTGCTCCACATGGCGACTTCCTCCTTAGCGATGGTGAGGTTGCGGTAGATGCCGAAGGGCGAGGCCTTGCTGCTGCCGTCTTGGGCGCTGCTCGGGTGGTGGTTGGCGGTGTAGTCGGCTATGCTGTTGATGCCCTTGTTGAGGAGGCAGAGGACATGGCCTCGATGGTGGTCAGCCACGAGGCCATTTCACACAGCAGCGGGCCCTCCAGGTCGCATAAACACGGCCCACCCACAACCTGACACACGCACACACACACACACACACAGAGAGAGAGAGAGAGAGAATGTGGCGAGTGCCCCAATGAGCCGCTTCATTTGTGTCGAGGCTGACGTTCGCATGTTGCAGCTCTTGGTCGTGTCCCTGGTCGTCTTGCTGGGGGCTCAGCACATCAACTGCAAACACAACAGCGAGACAGACAGACAGACAGACGGCGTTGGGTGAATCGATGCGTGAGAGTTTGATGCACACACTTTCTGTGTCAGTCGGGTCGACTAGTGCGTACCATCGTCACTACCACCAGCAGCAGCTGCAGCTGCAGCCACATGACAACGACCCGATCGGTCCTCCACGCGCGCCCGCTTGCTATCCGACACACCAGCTACCTGCACACACACACACAAAGAGAAGATTAGAGGGCAGATGGTGGTTTGCCTGGCTGGCTGTTTTCAACGTACACACCGATATGGATGATGCATGAGAAGTCTTCTGAGTCTTCTCCACGGCCAGATCATCCGCACGACCACTACCGCCACCCTGTTGCTCAGACAACACACACAGAGATACAGGTGAGTAGGAATGTGTGTGAGCTGTGATGCACACATACCTCTGCCACTCCGCCCTGCAGTGAGTTGGTGTTGTGTATGTTGCTCAGATAGTCGGCCGCCTCCTTGAGACAGCCGCCATCACGGCTCACGTGGCCCACCACCACAGACAGGTCGCCCACAGTCAGCGAGGCATCGTTGCCAGCTACCTGCAACAACAACGACGCATGGATCACACACGGAACAAGCATGGATGGACGACACACGGAGCACACACACATGGACCACCCCTCCCTCACCCCACTCACTTGCGCTTCTAGCGTTTGGACGAGTTTTTTGATGCGATCCATCTCATGTCTCCACCGACGGAGGTACTCATCGCGAGTCGCTTCCTGCAGCACGGACACACACACACACACACACATACACACACCATCCAGACAGATGTGCGCGGCAGCAGGCGGTTCATGGTAACGTACCGGATGGGTAACCCCGTCGTTGCCATCTTGCTGCATAGCTGCAGCCGACGGCTCAATGACCTCGTCTGCATGACACACAAACAATCCGCATGGATGGTCACCCCGGGCCGGTGGTGTTTCGAATTCTTCTGTGTTTGTCCACCTGTGAGTGAGGCCCTCAGCCGCAGATGCCTACGTCTGCCCTCAAGTACTGCACGGGCAGCCAACCAACGCTACCGTAGGCCTCCTCACCACCTCCTGAACACACAGCGGCCGCAGAGCCCAGCGCTGCATGTGACAGAAATCATCATTTTCCATGATTTTTGTGCCCTCCCACCTCACCTCTCGCTCAGTCGTCATCAAATCATCATCATGGTTCTCTTTTCCTCCTCTTTTCTCTTTTCCTCCCTTTTTTCTCCGCGAGCTCAGAGAATGGGATCGCCAGAGGACGAAGGGCAAAAGACGCAATGCCCGGCTCCAAAGCCTCAGGAGTGATCTGGCCACTGCATGTGTGGCGAGAATAGGCGAAGATCCAGCGGCATTGATGGATAAGTGTCCAGCAAGTCGGTGGTCTGGAGAGCTGTGGTAATGGTGAAGCAACAAGCCTTACGTCAACAGGAGGTGAGTCAAAAGGGAAGAGAGGTGAAAACAGTGAGTGACTCGCGTTTTCTCGAGACTCTCTTGCTTTGTTTCTGAGCAGGAGCAGGATGTGAATGAGAAGTTCGTCAACGATGACAATGGTGACTCCCCACTGCAGGACCATGGGCAGCAGGTGTGCATTGACTCACACACCACCCATTTGCTTCGCTGTCCACGCACAAGCAAAACCAATCACACGGGCCGTCTGTGTGTGTGGTGCGTTTCGTCGCTTGTGCAGTCGTCAGGGTGTTCGCTTCTTCTGTGGATTGTCCCGTCCGACACCTTCTCCACCTTCCTCAGCCCCCTCCTGGGCACCCAATACATCATCGGCACCCTCTCACTCATCGGCAAGGCCTTTCACACCATCGCTGATGAGCCGGCCACCCACCTCTGCTTCCACGTCCAGACCGCCAAGGCCATCCATCTCACCGACAGACAGCTCAGCATCTGGCTCACCCGACTGAGCAAGACCAAGAGCGCCGTTCTGCTCTGCCCGGTGACAGAGAGCATGGGGCGTCTGGTGGAGGCCAGGCGTCATACGCTGAACTACCTCGAGATGGACTACTCGGCGCCAAACCGGGGCCACACGCTGCTGTCAGTGCGTCAAGGGGCGTCTCTGGTGGAGTTCCCGGTGCTGGAGGAGGCGCGTGTGGGCGGCGACTGGGCGCTGGCGGCGCCACGCAAGCGATGGGCACTGAGGTGGGCGACAAGGCCAGCGAGTGATCCACACAACACAGCGGTTTTCACGTGTGTGTGGTGTTGTTGATTGGACGGCTTTGCAGGTCGCTCGTGTCACTGAGCGTTCGCGACTGCCGATTGCTGGCCCCCGTGATCGGTTTCGGTGTGTGGTGGCGTTCATTGGCGCCAGCCCTGCGGTCGCTCGAGTACGACGATGATGGGTGCTGGGGCTATCCGTACCCCTACGACACGCGCCCGCTACAGGAGCTTCTGCGGATAACCACATCTGTGCCTGACTTGAGCGCCCTGAAGACACTGCGGCTCAAAGGCCCTTATCTCCGCCTCACCCACGAATTCACACAGCAGCTGGCTCAGCGCGGCCTCAGGCTGGAGGACGTCGACATCGCCCTGCGCCCCCCATCCCCGTCGACCCCAATCATCAAAGTAAGATTTTCATTCACAAGGCGACAGCCTGCCCGCATTCATCAGGACACAGCTCTCTCTCCCTCTGTGTGTGTGTGTGTGTGTGTGTGGCGAGTAGGAAGTGGATGCTTTCCGCAAGTCTTGCCTCGCCCCGAACGCCATCGAGAATTGGAGCAGAAGCGATTTCAGGTTCCGCCTGGAGTCCCTGTACGACTCATCGGGCGTGTCGGACCAGGTCCTCTGCAGTTGTGCGGACACCATCAAGACCCTCGCTTCTGCGGCTACCGAAGTGTCCATGAGCACTCATCTCGGGGCCACTGAGGTGTTCTATCAAGCACTCCATGGCCTCATCCCATCACTCGTGTTTTCGCGAACACGCACTCTTCTGCTGACGATTAATGCTGGCCATGCCGGCGTTTTGCCACTGCCTGACGTGGTGTTGTCGAATGTGGCTCGCCTTTTCCCCTCTGTGACACACGCAGATGTGTCTGCTGACATGTCCGATGCGCTCGTGCAGAGGGTGCTGGGGCAGCTCCCGACGCTCGAGACATTGAACTGTTCGGCCTTAGACATATTCGACACAGACATGGGGGATGAGGATTGGGCACGCACTTTTTTGCTGCATCAGACAGAGCATCAGGACAGGCCGATCGCTGAGAGAGTTCGTGAGGCCACCACGACAATGTTTTGGGAGGAAAGCGATCATGCAGAGAGCTTCATCGAGGCATGTGACAGAATCGCATCTATGTGTATGCGGGCGATTCGTCGGTTTTCCCACCTGGATAGGCTCGTTATCACTGTCGAGCTGGCGGGGGATGATTGGAAATGGGAGGGGCAGGAAGGGGGCGACATGATCGTAGCCACAATGCAAGAGGGCATGGTGAGTCGGCCCGGCACACCCGGCGGCCGCCGATTGCCTTTTCATCTCTTGCTGCGTGAGTTTGGGTTTGAGTTAGTTGAGTTGCCGAGATTAGACTGTCACTGTCGGATGGAGGTGCGCCGGATGGGCGTGTCCATCCCGTCTCAGAAGCGCATCACTGACTACTTCCCGATCAGACAGTGAGACGGACAGGGCGGCGTAGCCAGCAGAGCAGGAACAGCTGTATGTGTCTTCCTGATTGTGGGCGAAGACCTGCACGTGCTGGCCTCTCTTGCAAGCCTCTTGTGTGTGGGAGTGTGCGAGCGGTCGATGCCTCACTCATCAGTGGTTGACGCGCTGATCGCTTCACACATTTGTGCGCACGAGACTGCTGTCGAGCGAAAGAATGGGTGTGCCAATGAGAGCTCTTCAGTGATGTGCGTGTGCTGGTATGGACAGCTTTATCCTATTTATGGTCAGGATTGAAGGCACGTTCAATGCAGGCACTTGAGGCTCCTGTCAACAGGAGCCATCGATTCACTCACGGACATGCACACAAGGCAAAACCGTTCATCACACGACGCAGCGCACCATGCAACACAAGACATAATCACGTACAGTACACAGGAGGCTTAACACGGCTCCATCCATCCATCCATCCACCCTTCTCCCAGTCAGCTGATAGCTAGCTGCACGAAGCGACCAGACTGGTGGACATGGCCCAGCTGCCCCCACTGAAAACTGCAATCGTCATTACCGAGGTGGGTGTTGAAGCCCTTGACCACTCCCGTCAGGCTGTATGCGGCCGCCTCGTCCAGCCTTGCCCGATGCACCACCTCACGCACTCCCAGCCGCCTGTGTGCGCGCTGCCCATTGATGGCGAAGCACTGCAGCGGCACCCGCACCGTCTCGCCCTCCACATCGGCCATCGCGCCCACCACCTCCGCATTGCCCGCCGTCTTGGTCGCCGCCTGCTCGACAAAGTGGTCGACGGCAGCACTCACGCGGCGCTTGAGCTGAGAGTCGGCGACCAGGTACTCGTCGATGGCGGCACGGGCAGCTGTAGGGTCGTGGGAGAATGCGCCGATCTTCCATGCGATGGCTGTGGCCTCCTGGGGCCCGAATGAGAGGCTGGACGGGGAGGGGTGGGGGTAGGCACCGTCATGGTGTGGCGCCATGGGCAGCAGACAGCCGATGCGGGCGGCTGTGTCCCGTTGCGGCTCGAGTGCGGCGTTGATGGCGGCCATGACGTGGGACGGCAGCTCGTTGAGGACGGCCTCGTACTGCTCCAGCACCAACGACTGCTGGAGCCTATCTGGGGTATCAGTGGGCAGCAGGCCGATGCTGGCGCCATATCGCAGCAACGTGCAGATGCATTTCTTGTGGTCGTCGTTCAGCTTTTCAGGAGGATCGCCACTCTCGATACCCCACTGCAGCCCTCGTGCAGCAAAGCTGAGAGCAGTCCTGTGTGTGAAGTGAGTCTGGTGGTCGATGTCAGCAGCAGTGAGCCGCTGACAGAGATACAGCAGCGGCAAGTAGGCGCCAGAACCGGCTGCAGACATCAGGGGCGTCTTTTCCTGTCCGTTTTCGGCTGTTACGTCGGCGCCAAAGTTCACCAGCGTGTCCATGTACTCGTTGATGAACCCTTCAGACAGCCGCAGGCTGGCCATGTCGTGCAAAGGTGTGAAGCCAAAGACGTCCGTCTCGGTGGCGAGGGAGGGGTCGTGCAGCAGCAAGCGGTGAGTAATCGCCGTCAGAGCCTCCTCCTCGGCCTCGGATTGGGGCAGAAGACCGTCGACGGTGAAGAGAATGGGTGTCGGAAGGTTGCTGACCTCGGCGTTGTTGGTCAGGAGTGCGTTGAGCGCTGTGAGGTTGAGGGATTGCTTGGCCATCTGGACGGGCATCAAGTTGTGGCCGTAGTGTCCGTCGATGTAGGCCTCTCCCGCCAGCAGTGCCGTGATGATGTCCTCCTGATGCTGCCGCGTCGGCCAGAGGGGCAGGATGACGCATGCGCCCTCACTCCGACATGCCAGTGGAGAGAAGTAGCTGCTGGTGTCGATGGCGAGAGCGAGGGCGCTCAGACGAACCGCCACAGCATCGTCTCGGTAGATGAGCGTGACGGCGACGTTCACATCAGCGCCTCGGCTGGTGAGGTTCGCCACACCAGCAGCAGTAACGTTGCGGCGGAGGATGCGCTGCACGAGGCGCTTGGTCGGCCCGTTGGTGCCCGTCGGCAGCGTCATATCGATGCCCTCGAGAATGACGGAGCGGCCGCCCTGGCTGGCTGGCACTGCGTTGCTGCTCGCCATATATGACTAATCCGCAGAGAGAGAACACATGCATCGATAGGTCACTGCTACGTTCACTGCTGCACTCCTTGATCTTCTCGTGAGCGTACCGAACAACACAACAACAGCTCGGGCGTGACAGAGGCCTCGCTACACAGGGGGATGTGTCCGTCCTCGTAGCCGGCTGGAAAGTGTTGGGAAACCAATTCTAAAGGCTGCAGCCAGCATCATACCCATTTCCCCAACAGAAGCCTCCAGCCGCCAAAGGGAGCTGCCCTCGAGGCGTTCCTGACACGCCAACGCTTCTCAGCAGCAGCGGCGGGGTTTCGAAGAGCGCATTCTCACGAATGCGAGCTAATTCTTCGGATCGAGTGAGGATCGAATTATCGTTTTTCTCAGAGTTGGCAAATTCGTTTTGCGATTTTGTCTGCCAGACTTTGTGAGCACTCTCCACACGCCATTTTCCGAAAGAATCGGACGAAAAGCGCACATTCTGCCATTTTGGAGAGGAGTTAGGGCAGCGAAATTCCGTTTTTGCATCACAGGCTGATCACAGGCGGCAGCTCAGTTCAGCAGCATGTGACAAACGCCGCGATATGGCCGTTGACGTGCCCGACATGGGCGCCCTGCGTTCGGTGGCCGATGCCCATCGCCGTACAGCACAGAGAATCGACGACGTACTCGAACGGGTGGGTCCGTTACGCTTACGAAAGACAGCCTCCATGCCGTGTTTGTTTTCGTGTGTGTGTCTTGCAGCTGGAGCGGCATTGGAATGCATTCGCCAGAGAAGAGCGGCTGACAAGAGAGCAGCGTGAGGGACGGCAAGCAATACGAAGGCACAAATGCATGCCATCCCAGTGTGCGTCCGTGTGTGCATCCTCAGCACGTGACTGTCCAGCATCGCATCTGCTCCAGTGTCATGGATGCCATCTGCCGGGAGGACTCACTGGCCAAGAGAAACGCCCAGATCACAGTGGCTGAGGAGAAGATGGAATACATCGAGGCCTTTCTCCGCCATCAGGTGCGATGGACACATGTGATGTGTGGCCTGTCAACTTCACATGCCCGTCTGTGTTCTTTTCCGCTCTCTTGTCTTCAGTCCCCGCCCCCTCCCCGTCTGCTGGCGCTGCCCGACACGCTCATCTATACCATGCTCAGCCCGCTGCTGGGCACTCAGACCATCATCGGCAGCCTCTCGCCCACCCACCCCTCCCTCCACTCCCTCGCCGTCAACCCAAAAGGGCACCAGACGGTCCACTTCGAGGGCTCGACCGCTCTCGCCCCACAGACACAAAAGCAGCTCACCACGTGGCTCCCGCGGTTGAGCAAGGCGACCAGGGCTGTCTTTCTGCTTCCGCTGACCGAGTGGGCTGTCAAGACGGTCGAGGCCTTGTGTGGCACACTCTGAGAGCCTGGTAGTGGACTCGCCGGATGTCGACGGAGGTGATGTCTATATGTCACGGGGTCGGCGCATGCAGTCGACAGCAATTTCTGTCTGTGTTTGATGAACGATACATTTTGCTGTGTGCGTGTGGTGAGCTTGACTCTGCCTTCTCGTGTGTCATCAATTGCACTGCAGTGCTCATGCTCTGTACGTCCGGTGGTTACAGTACATGCAGTGCAGTCATCCACTGATTCACACAAACACTCATAGACGCACGCAACACGCTCTACCTACCATCCTGCTGCCTCGCCTGTTGTGGGATCACGCAGCAGTGAAACGAGGGCATGCCCCAGCACGCCGCAACACATACACACCGCCTGGCTGCGGCTATTTGCCGCTCCCGCCAGCAGGCACATCACTTACAAAAGACCATTGTGTACATCCAGGAACCACGCAAAAACGGGCAATACCGATTGATTGATCCACCCAAGTGAAGGGCACAGTGTCGCGATGAGTGGCACGGCGGAAGGCATGTGCCATATATCGGGGCCCATGAACCGGAACACTTCTCCTGGAGGCCAACAGTGACGCACTTCTCTACGCAGTAAAGGCTACACTGCTCCTGACGCCATCATGCTGTCACGACCCAAAACACACACACAGACACACAGACACACAGATACACAGACAAGACGTGAGGACCTGTGCACATGCCTCGCTGCGTGATCTTGCTCGCTCGCTCTCACCGGTCAGTGCAGTGGTCTCTTCCTCCCCTGATGTGTCTGTGATGGCGCCTTTCCTTTTTCGCCGCCACGTTGACGCATCTGCCATCTCGATCTCGATGCCGCGAGTCGCCCGCTCACCGGGGCTGCGCGGCTCCACGAGCAGAGGTTTCAGCAGGTGACCGCGGCCACGACCACGGCTGCCGACGATGCTCACTGAACGCAACACAGATCCACATGTGCAGTGTGTCAGACGTGCAGCCAGGGGAAAGGGAAGTGACAGCTTACTTTTCTCGCCGCCTCTTCTGCCATCATGAGTGACTCGCACACGGATGATGTTGCTGACGGGCTGATGAGCACCACGAGATCTGGAAGTCTGCTGACCCATCTTGACTTCACGCGTAGACCGTGCTTTGCTTCACCTGCAGCCACAAGAAGGAAAAGACAGCACAAGCACAAGCTTCCTCCCTTCTCTCTCTCTTCCTCTCTTTGCGGGCTTAGCGGCGAGGATCCCGCCCGGTGGCCAGTTTCAGTCAAGTACATCGCCGTTGCGTACAGGTTGAAAGTCGGTAGGCCGCTGCTAATTCTCTGGATTACTTCTGCTCGACTCCGCTTTGCGTTCGTTGTCCTATTTGGCTGATCCGATGACAATGTCGCTCAAGGTGCTGGTGGTGCTGACGCTGGCTGTGGTCCCAGCACACTGCGCCTTCGCGCAGACAGGTGTGGACCAGTAGATGACGCACTTGGCCTTTGCATCAACGCTTTCTATGCATGTGCTCGTCTGCGCTCGTTTCAGCCTCCAACTCGACGTCAAGAGGACTGTTGTCCGCAAAGAGAGAGCTGACGGGTGGCGTTGAGTTCTTCGACCCAGCTGCTTGCGACCCACATAGGGTGTACGAGACCCTCATCCACATCTCCAGAGACCTGGAGCTCAAGGTACACACCGCAGTCAGGGTCTGCGCATTGTGGAGTATTTTGCTATGCTGCACTATGTGGGGTGCTGCGCGTGCAGCCCGAGAACTTGGACAATCCGCAGGATGAGACAACCAAGGAGAACACATTTGAGTTCCGCCAGATCGCTGGTACGCACAAGAAAGGAGTGAGGGAGGTTTGTTCGTATGACCATGTGTGTGTTGGCAGTGGACTTCTTCCGTGAGGAGTACGGACTCTTCATGGTACGTGGGGGCACGACCACAGTGACAGCTGCGCTTCGTCTCACGCAGCATAAGGACTGACCTGCACTCAGACATAACACATATACAGACACAGACAGCTCCCCCTTCTCTGTTACTGGCTTGTTTTTGCTGCAGATAAACAACAACAAATATCCCCAGAGTTACAAAACGAACGATGGTCACTGCGACCAGACTGCCGATGGGCGCTGGTGTTTCTGCGACCTCGATACCGACGAGTGCGACTATCGTATGATGCCCTAGACAGCACTGTCGATTACGAGGTACGTCAGCTTCATCCGGAGGCGCATGAGCCCTGTGTGCAGTGTTCTGTCTCTCTGTCCTCTCTGTGTGGGTGTGTGCATAGATTCGATCCATAGACGTGCAGCGGTACCATCCCTGGCGCAACCTCGTTCCCGTCAGTGACATACCACGATGCAAACGCGAGAGGGAATTGCGAGAGGGGCCTTCATATGTGTATCTTCTTTTTGGTTATGCCTGCTGTGCCTTGTTCAGGTCACGAATGACCGCTGTGACTCCGTTTACATTTTCCTCACCATTCTCAACCCCCACGGCCTTCCGAACCAGGGCAAGTCTGCAGATCGCTTCCAAGAGCTGCCTTTTGGCTCGTTCGTGTAAGACAAGAGCATTCCTACGAGAACACCTCCAACAGGCCACATGTCTTGTGTATGCAGGTGGTCGGGCCTCTATGCCTGCTTTGCACAAGACTCACAGGGCAATGAGTTCCAAACCATGCGGTCAGTCAGAAGCCAAGGGCGGGCGGGCATGCACTCTCTCTATGTATGTGTGTGAATATGTGTCACCTGTCTGTCGAATTGGCTCGCATATCAGCATCCCCTATGTGACGGCCGAGCCCGCGATTGATGAGTCCAAGTCCTACGGCCCCGGGCGGAAGGGAGGCGGCTTCGGCTTCTCAATGGACGTCTACGTAAGTCGTGCACGAAATGCGCGTACACTTGAACAGCCATACACTCATGTGTGTGCACATGGATAGAATCTGGAGCCAGCCTTCCTGGGCGAGAGAGGTCTTGCACTTGGCCGCATCTCCAACGGTCCATTGGGTCAGTCGCTGGCTGCGGACCGCCGCCGACACAGTGTGGCCATATACATCCCCGGCAGCTTCTCCTCCCACCTGGACCCCTCGGTTGAGAAAACCTGCGAGCAGATCACTGCCAAGGCGCCCAGGGGAAGCGTGGAGCCGCCACACTAATGAGCGAGCGGCCAGGCTGCTTTCGCTTTGTTTGTCCTGGATGGGAGTCCCATTTGTTTCATGGAGGGCCATCACTGACAGTGCTTCTCTTGGCACTGTATTTTCCTTTCTCGGCCTCTCTCTTTTTCTCTCGTGTGCTCATCCGCGAGTGAGCGTACATGAATTTCTGTTGCTGTTTTTCTATCCATCGAGCGCTTTGAGTCGGCGAAACAACGAATTTCGCGACCTCAAAGGAGAATTGATCAACATGTTGATGCATTCATGGATGTGGTACGTAAGTAGGCCCGTACACTTCGCTGCCTTGAGGTGTATATATGGGTGGGTGTGAGTGTCTCGTGTGTTCATTTCCCCCTTGAGCTGTCTGGCGATCGATCTCACCCAGATATGGCGAGTATCGAACTTTGTGGTGGCCTCTTGCTCATCTGTCTGTCTGTCTGCCTGTTTGTTTGTTTGTTTGTTTGTTTGTCTGTCGGTCGGTCGGTCGGTCGGTCTCATGACTTTTGGAGCTGGAGAGAGTTGCATGGCCTTTAGAAAGCACACGTACTGAAAGTGAGTGTGTGTGTGTGTCCATGTATATATGTATCGGTTTGAGTGCAGAGAGAGCGCGGTGTCTGTCTTGCACTTAGTGACCGCTTGCACGTCTGTCTGACTGTCTGTCTGTCTGTCTGTCTTTTTCGAACCAGAGACAGCTGAATGGCCTCTAGAAAGCACACAGAGAGAGTGTGTCTGGCACGTAGCGATGCTGTTTTGCTATGAAGTGATGCGTGCACGTCTGTGGCGATGAATTCATCGGTGTACGTCGACGCGACAAATTGATGAATGGATGGCGTAAGAAGCTAGTAGGTCCGTCCGTACATTTAGCTGGTTCCCTGTCATGTTTGTGAGTGCCGGTGTCTGGCTTTGGGCTGTCTGTCCGGTGCTCTGGGGGCGCTCTCAGAGGGTCACCTGCCTCATACTTAGTGCCCTCCCTGCCCATAGGTCTATCTGCCTGCCTGTCTGTCTGTCTGTCCGTCTGGAGAGAGCTGAGTTTTTCTTGTGTAGAGCAGAGAGAATCACCTTCTGTTTTGCAAGGCCTTGCCCGTGGGTGGCATGGCATGAATTGTATATATCTTTTATAGTTTAATTTCCATGCATCCGGGTGAGTGGGTCACAGACGTGACAATAATGTCACACCTGCCCTTGTCGTGTGGGGCGGTGTGACATAAGTATCTTTTTCCTCTTCTTTTTGTACGTGCTGTGTCACTTTCTCACATACGTGACCTCCACCTTCATACACGCGGGTGACTGCTTTGAGCAGGGGCCTTCACTCATGGTGAGGAAGTGACCTGCAAACGTAGAAAAGAGCGACGGGACGAACTGTGCCAAGACCGTGAGCATGACTGCTGTGAGACTTCTTCAATCTGCACTGCAATGCGCTTGGGGAATGAGAGAAATCCTTCATCTCAGCGAGCTTTCGATCGCGATTGGGAACCTGAAGGGACGGTGCGAAAAAAGGACCGATGATGGAGGAGTTGTGCGTGTGGCAAGACCGTGAGATCAAGTTTGACCAGCCTCCGCAGCTGCTGAGGCTCAGGGCGGGAGAAACACAAATCGACTCCATGAACGCCATCGAGGACACAAAGGTGCCACAGAGAACCTTAGAGAGCAATGGGCGCATCGACAATGGACGCGTCCATGGATGCGTGTGGTCATCTGTTGGTTTGTTCCTTCGTTCAGGGCAACAATGGCGAGAGGGGCATGATGCTGGTGACCAATCTGCGTGTGATATGGACGGCAGCCAAGAACCTGCGCACCAACCTCTCCATCGGCCTCAACTGCATCACATCGGTCAACATCAGGCAGGTCTGACGGTGAACAAATGAATCAATGAATGAATGAATGAATGATCGTCCCCGCACCTCCCACAGAAACGCTTGTTTCGCTTGTGTACGTCAGGTGGTGTCAAAGCTCAAGGGCCCGACACAGGCGCTGTTCCTGATGACCAAGCACAGCGGCACGCGATTCGAGTTCATCTTCACGTCCCTCGTCCGCAACTCGCCGAGGCTATTCACCACCATACTCGCCGTGCACAGGTGGGCGGACCGAGGAGGGAGATCTGACCTCGCTGCAGAGCTGTGAATGCCACTGCGTGCCTGCCTGTGTGTGTGGTGTGTGTGCTGCTGCTCTTTCAGGGCGTATGAAACATCGCGGCTGTACCGGGACCTGAAGTTGAGGTGACTGCCTTGCCATGAGGGTCTGTCTGTTGTGATGGATGTGCGTGTGGTATGTGTGGGTATGTCAGGGGTGCGATAATTCAGGACAGGGAGTTGGTGATGCTGCCGCTCGAACACCTATATGACAAGGTCAGAGCGGCAAGGACGGACGAGCTGTCGAGTGCATTGACGTATGTACCCAGGATCCCCCATCATCTGTGTATGTATCTCTTTGCCTGCACTGCAGGTGACGGGCATTTGGAATCTCTCGTCCGACCAGGGCAACCTCGGCACCTTCTGCATCTCAAACGTAGCTAGTGCATGACGTCTGTACTCACGGAAGCACATAATGGGCATACTGTCGGTCGGCCTGCTCAGGTGCGCGTGGTCTGGTTTGCCAACCTCGCCGAGAACTTCAACGTATCCGTCCCTTATCTGCAGATGGTACTACATGGGGAGGAGAGTGCAGCCATAGTATATGCATCTGCGCGCGTGTACGTTGAGCAGAAGTCGATTTCTGTGCGCAACTCCAAGTTCGGCGAGGCGCTGGTCATCGAAACCACACAAGTAGGAAAGCGGAAGTGAAGAGGAGGCAGCAGATGCGTCATGTCACTGTGTGAGGGTGTTGGGGCGGCAGGCGAGTGGGGGGTACATTCTGGGTTTCCGCGCCGACCCACAAGAGCTGCTCGCCCAGCTGCACAAGCAGATCAGCAACCTGCACAAAGGTGACCACACACACGGAGAGAGGGCACCCTCTCTCTCTCGCTCACTTTGCCACCGCTTGGTTCGCTGTAATGGTTCATCCATTCAGTATTTTCGCAGACCCCTGTGTTTGGCGTTGAGTACTCGATAGAGGAGAAGGTGACTGACACAAAGGCAGACAGACAGGCACACAGACAGACACACGGACAGCAAGCCCAGCCCACTGCACTCTTCGTTTGTGTATTGGCTGTGTCAGAGTGGCCCCACCGGCCCGAAGATGCCCAACTTAGAGGACGATGTGCAGGTAAGGTAGGCGACCGGCTGACAACACAACACAACGCCAGACAGACAGACAGACAGACAGGTATATCCACTCCACACGTGGGAGTTGTATGCACGGGTCAGATAGTGCCGGGTGAGGATGTGGAGCCCTCCCTGCTGTACTACGCCGAAGGGCAGAAAGCGGCAGAGGCCAAGTGAGTCAGCAACCAACCATTCTGCTTACGTCGAAACACGTGTGTGTCAACCATGTGGCGTGTGACGACTGACTTGCAGGGAGCCGGTGTTCAGTCCCGAGTTGGGTTTGGCGATAGAGGAGCTGAGGGAGGGGGCCACGGTCGACAGTCTCTGGAGCGTCATTTAGACAGCCAGATAGACAGACCAGTGGTGTGTGGGTGAAGGTGCCTAATCGGATGGATGGATGGGTGGATGGATGTTTCCGTATGTGCAGTGAGTGGTGTGGACGCGGGGTGCAGATTGGCTGTTTCTGACGTACTTGTCGATAGCAGGTGTTGACGGCGATACGCATACTCAGACAGACACACGGACACGACTGTCACAGTCGTCACGACTTACAGCCATCCCTCCTTACTCAACAAACAGACCGAAAGCGCCCACTCGCACTCAAAAGGTTGGTGTTTGCCGGCATCAGTTGCTCCCTTGCTCATGCATGCGCCATGCAGGCACGCGGGCAGATCCAATGGAGCTGGTCTGTCCGCCTGGCTGCGTGTTGCATTCACGATGGAAACAATCGACAGCCACCTTCCCGCTAAGAACTGCTCCCTCCCCCCGCAGCAGCGGCAGCAGCAGCAGACGCACCCCCACCCTCCCCCTCCTGCTGCTGCTGCTGCTGCTGGTATTTGCTGTGTATCCTCAGTGCCTTCCTGTAGGTGCGCTTGACGTGCAGACACACCGCCATCAGGTTGGTCAGTGACTCGGCCAGCACAGAGGACGCCGGCCGCTCGGTCGTCTGCACACGCAGGTTCATGATGTTCTCGGTTGGGTGAGGCACCGAGTACCCTGCGAACTCGATGTCGGGGCTGCACACACACACAAAAGAGATTGGGAGGATTGGTTTCTGCACATCTATCGGCGCACTTCTTCATGAGCATGTATCGGACGACGTTGCCGAGCGTGTGGTCCTCGTTCACAAACTGAAACGTGGCGCACGTCTGGTCGTCGCCAAGCTGATCCACACAGATCACATAGACAGGCAGTGAGTCGATGAGTCCACCCCTTCGTATCTTGTTCTTTCATGCCGCTTACATCGTCTGGGATGTCCATCTCTGCGCGTGGCTGCGCCATTTCGCCGAGCCACTGGTCGCCGAGTCCATCCCTGCGAGCTCAAGCTCGCACCTGCTTCAATATCCCTGGCATTTTCGGCCGTTGATGGTCTCATTGAGGCCTTACTCATCACCCCTGGTGCTTGGATCTTCCATTTTGCTACTGCAGCATCTACGACGTTTCAACACCAGCGCACTGACGATGAATGGAGGGCCGCCGACACACGCACTGCCACAAAAGAGGCCGCGGACGTCGCAGTGGCTGTGGCAGAAGTGTCGGCGACGAGCGCTCAAGTCGCTTTACCACCCCTGGGTGCTGAGGCTGGGCGCGTCTGTGCTGGCGAGGGAGAGCTATGTGGAGTTCATGAGGCAGGACGCATTCTTCCTCGAAATCTTTGCAAAGGTCAACCAACAGGCACACACGGGGGAAGGAGATGTGCGTGGGTGTTCCACACGCGGGGTCGTGTTTTCTCATTCAGGCGTATGCGCATGCCCTCTGCAAGTGTCCGCCTGGCGATGTCGAGGGCATCCGGGCGTTCAACGCGCTCATCGGCGGCGTACTGAGCGAGCTGACACTGCACCAGTCCAGCACAGAGTGGGCCATCGACACGTCGACATTCACGCCCAATGAGGCCACCGTCCGCTACACCAGCTTCCTCAGGGACGTCGGAGCCGACCAATGGACCACCACGGCAATGGTGCTGGCTTCCATGGCGCCCTGCATGTCGCTGTACGCCTTCATTGGCAAGGCGCTGAGGGAAGGCGTCGGGGAGGAGGGGATGGCCGGGCATCGATACAACGAGTGGCTGGCGACCTACAGTTCTGCCGAGTTTGCGCAGGATGCCGCGCGTGTTGAAGAGCTGCTGGACAGGTAGCACACGAAGGGAGGGAGGGAGGGAGGGAGGGAGAAGTGACGCTCTCTTCATGTCGTGTGTCGGTTGGTTGGTGCAGGTATACTGACCCCCTCTTATCGCTGTCAGGGCAGGTCGGAGAAGACGCCGTGCGTGGGAACCTCCTGTACTACTACGGAAACGCCATGGACCTCGAGTATGGCTTCTTCGACGCGCAGGCACTCCCCCCTCCCTCCTGCGCGCCCTCCGCGTCACCCTCACGCCACCCCGGCCTCGCCCAAAGGGGTGTCCTCTCCTTCGTGGCCATCGATTTTGACGGCACCTGCACCCAGAGGGACACCACGCCACTTCTGCACGAGGTGGCCGCCGAGGTGCACAGCGACCCGGACCAGGTGCGCCAGAGGTGGCGGGCGATCGAGGACGCATTCTTCGACAAGTATCGGAGGAAAGTTGGGGAGCTGCTGGAGGGGAAGGTGCGTGATGGGATGAATGGACTGGAGGCGTTTCTGGGGGGGCTGGGTGAGTTTGAGAAGGCGGCTGTGGCTGACGTGTCGGAGGCGAGGCTTCTCCAGGGGTTCACCAGAGGTAGACATCGACGCTCATTTGCTGATTTGCTGTTAAACACCTGTCGGTTGCTGTTTGTTTGTGTGTGGCGCAGATGACGTCCGTCGGATGGTCAAGACGTCACTGCGGCAGAAGTGGCAAGTCAGAGATGCATGTGGAGAGGTAGAGACACGTACCCACACACAGACAACACCAAACCCAACTCCGCCCTTGATTCTCCCCTGTCTGTCCCTCTCAGGTCCTGAGCGGTCTTCTCTCCCACGACGTCCCCGCGAGCATCATCTCTGTCAGCTGGTCGCAGGACATGATCCATACCATCCTCCAAGACGCCTGTGGTGCCCCCCTCTCCCTCCCCATCACATGCAACTCCTTTTCGTTCCGCGAAGATGACCAGAGAGCCACTGGGGAGATCTCCAGCCACATGACGGGGGCGGTGGACAAACTCCGCGCCTTCCGGAGGCTGCGGGAGGAGAAGGGGCGAGAGGGGAGGCTGAGCGTGTTTATTGGCGACAGCGTGACCGATTTGCTGGCGTTGCTGGAGGCCGACATCGGCATTGTCCTCAAGGACGCACTCAACAAGAACAACACTCTCGACAAGGTGCAGAGTGCATCGACAGACAACACACATGAATGACCGACGGCCACTTGTGCGTGTGTGCGTGTGTGTGTGCAGGTGATATCTTTGTACGGCATCGATGTGCAGCCGCTGGTGCGCGCAGCCATGATAGCCCAATGCGGTCAAGAGGCTGCAACCGTGACGCCGGTGTCCATGCCGCCGATGACCATCTATGCTGCAGACGGCTGGGATGAGATTGGCGTGATGCTTTTCGGCAACGAGTTTTGACGTGCTGCCTTGATGGCGTTTCTGCACGCTACTGTTGCTTAAAGTCAACTTTCAGCGAGAACGGCATGATGCGATGCGTGCAACACACTTGGAAATGAGGGTGCACATCCCACCAATATAAAATGGAGGCAGCAGTAAGACAGCCATGCATCCCTCCCCCACGCACGCACGTCGTATTCATGCACACCGCACAGCTGACCATCATCGATGGCTCAGCCAGCTGTCTTGACTGAGACATCGTCCTATCGTCCCATCTGTACCGTACTCCAGGCAAAATGCGCATCTCTTGAATGCACACACAAGGGTATACACCGAGAAAACCTCTGGAGTACACAGACACAAACGCCACAACACCAAGCCACCTCACTGTGAAAATACCCCCCTATACCTCACACACACACACACACATACACTGACCCCTCTCCCTCCCACCTCCCTCCCTAGCAGCAGCAGCAGCAAGGAAAGCACCCCCTCAGCCAATTCACGAAACACCGCCACCATTCATGCACCCACTGCAGCCACCCGCAGCACCCACTCGGCCTGGACACCACACCGCCGACAGCCGCAGCCGTCCTTGTCTGCGCCATGGGGGAGTAGGGGAGAGGCTCGTCTCGCTCGTTGTTGAAGGGGGTGGGGCAGGTGTAGGGCGAGCGAGGGTGGAAGAAATGGCCCGAGCGGGCCAGGCGGATGCGGCCCGTTCTCTCCCACCTGCCGAGCGGTGTGGGGGGTGATGGAGTCCGTGATGGCGACCGAAGAGGGAGGCGGGGGCCGAGCAGCAGGTCCTTCTCCCTCCAGACAGTCTCCCGCTTGGCGTCCAGGGCGTCAGTTGGAGTGGCCGGTGGTGGTGGGGGGGGTGGATGATGAAGGCGGCGGAGAGGGTGAGGTAGACAAGCGCGAGTCGGATGCACGTACGGCCACATCGCAAGGAAAGAAGTCGGCGTGGTGACGCGCCTTCGGGGCAAGGGAACGACGACGTCAGGGCCCGATAGTCATGAGGAACGTACACAGCCCTGCAGGCCCACGGCACACACGGGGACGAACGAAGAAAAGCGAATAAGTGCCAGGAGGAGACGGGATGACGGCCCAGTTTTCTTACGATTTGAGCCTCGCCGTGGTCCCAAAAGGAGTGGATGCACCGAAACAGGATGGTGTTGCTGGCTAGGAAGTGCTTGTTCAGAAGATTGCCTGCATACACGGAGACACGCATCGATACACAAGCAGCAATCCATGCATGTGTGTGTATATGCACTATCCATGCGTACCGACAAGCTTCAGGTTGCCCATGAATTGTCTCTTGTACTTGAATGCCTCTATGTAATCATCTCCTGAATAAGAGCACTTCCAGCTGTCCGCGAGAGCTATGCGTGCATGCATGTGTGGGTGTGCTTAGTGTACGTACCGCTGAGCCCGCCGAGGTCCTACTGGAGTGCATCTTGTCTCGTCTTATCTCGCTTACTGCCGTGTCTTTGTGTTCCTGACAGAGACTGCCCACGAGTTCTCGCCACTCTTCAGTGACCCTTCGCCTGAACAATCAACACAAACCTGGAACTGGGAGTACAAAACCCACCAATATAAAATGGAGGCAGCGATGCGTGAGACAGCCACTGCATGAGATCGGTCATGATTTTGTCCGACGAAGCATGGCCCACCCGCACAGTGCAATGCACACGAAGCGTACGGACAGCCGATAGCTGAGTGAGTGAGAGGACGCGATATATAGGTGTTAGGCTTCGGTCGGTATGCACAGACGAGCCAGACATACAGATCGATCCGATACATACAGACATACATACATACATACTTACATACTTACATACACACACAATAAATACAGTACACCAATGAGTATGTATGCACAGAAGACAGACGAGCCAGACAGACACAGAGAGACAGACATGCAATGGACGCAGTGTGGGGACGGGAGGGGACGTGACAGTTGTCAAAACCCCACAGTCACTTTGTATGTATCGACAGACAGACACATGGAACCGGTCAGAGGCGCACGCACACACAGACACACACACACGGCACCTCACCTGCACGAAGAGATGTCGATCGTAAAGTAAATCGACAGGCAGGTCGACACACGACACGCTGTTGGACATCTCTCTCTCTCTCCTCAGTGCACATGATGTGTGTGTGCACATGATGTGTGTGTGACCTTTGACTTGACGGACACCCAATAACAACAATACAGTACGCAGGCAGAGCAGCCATCACAGCTAAGCTATCCAGTCAGTCAGTCAGTCAGTCAGCCAGGACGTACTAATATCCATGAATGCGCCGCGCCCACCCTCCCATCCATCCACCCCACCCGCCCCCCAGTTCGAGTATGTGTATATGTATACGTGTGTGCCGTGCCGTGCCGTGCCATGCCATCTGGTTTGGTCGTCGTTCTGTGCCTGCTGGATCATCTTGTCCATCTGGGACGTGTTGAGGGTCAGCCCACTCTGGTTGGCCAGCTCCATGAGTTTGGCCTGCAAGGCCGCCCGCTTGGCCCCGGGGTCCATGCTGCCGCTCTCCATTTGCTCGGCGGCCAGCTGAGTGAGTGTCTGAGTGAGCGTGTCCAGGATATGGCACTCCGAAGCCGACAGGCCTCCCCCCAGCCCCCCTCCCCCCACCGGCCCCTGCTGCTGCTGCTGATGCTGAGCGCCGCTGCCCAGGGGCATGATGCCGGCCACGCCCATGCCGGTCGCATGTGGCGTGTAGGGGTTGGCAGGCGTTGTACGTGTCTGCCTGCCTGTCTGTCTGTCTGTCTGTCTGGCCAGCCGTGTGTGTGGTGCGAAGTTTTCTCCGTTGGCCTGCGCCTGGGTCGTTCCTGAGTTCACCGACACACCAACTGCAGGCATCCAAGGTACACACACAAGGACATCCATCCCATCAAGAGCGGTCCCGTACAGTACACATGAGAGCAGTGTTGTGTGTACCAGTGCGAGGGTTCCTGCGCGTGTGCGACTTGCGAGTAGTGTTCGGGTGCAGCGGAGGTGAGCCGACCCCTGGCGGCCGCGTGGGAGGGAAGCCGCCCCCCGGTGGCCGCGTGGGAGGAGAGCCGCCGCCCGGCGACCACCCCTGCCAAGCCAATGGAGACGATGCGCTAGCATAGCCAGCGACGTCTGCAACAGACACCCACACCAACACACAACCGGATGTTTGTTTATGTGTTAATGTGGGGTGCACTGCACTTACCCTTGGCACCGAGTGTGTAAGCCTTGATGGGGTTGGAATTCGGGCCGCGTAGGAACTTATCCTGCACAGGCACATGAAGGTGAAGTGAACGAGTCAGTGAGAGAGAGAGTGAGGGACTTCCGCTCACTCACCGACACGAATGGAACCGGCGCCTTCTTGCACCAGCCGACGGAGCCCTCTTGGTGCGCGTGCTGGCTGCGGAGCACTGTGTCCCGCTGCTGGACAATGGCCTACACACACACATACACACACACCCAAGATTGTATTGGGGTATGCATTGAATACTGTATTGGAAGGGAGATTTGATTGCCGGCTTACACGGCCACACCCATAGCCCGCATTCGAATCGATTGTAACATTCGGGTGCCTGCAGGAACGAACGGATGCGCATACACAAGAGAGCAAAATCATTCCACCATGTGTGCGTCCGTGCGCGACACACTTACGTTTTGTAATGACACTACCATGTTGTCAAAGTCCACCAACACCACCCGTCGGCCGTCGCGCATGATGTTGCGCAATGAAACGTCCCCGTGCGCGAGCTGTCAGTCACGCCACACACAGACAGAACAGGGATGTACGGGTTGAAGGTGTGTTTGGGTCCCCCCTCCCCCGTCCATCCATCCATCCATCCACTACACTTACTTGGTGGCTGTGTAGTTGTCGCAGCCCCTGCAGCGCCCTCGGTGCGATATGCCGCGCGTCGGCCTCGCTCACGCGGCCCTCGTCGCGATCCCCGCCGTCTATCCATTCCATGCTGATGTACTGTGTGGATCTCGCACAGGTTGGCGCCGGGCCGAAGGGCGAAGAGGCGGCGGTACTTGTCGAGGATCTCGGCCTCGCTGCACAGGCCATCGGGGCCGCTGAACGAACGAATACCCACACAGCAACAACAATGTGAGTGGATGCAGGCAGACAGGTAGACAGGCAGTAGTGGTGTGAGGGGGTGCGTGGGTGAGCTGGTGCAGCTCACAGGAAATTGGCCCTTGGGATGGCTTTGACCGCGTGGAAGACCCCTGGCACCAACAAACTGTTCACCTTGAACACAATGGCATTGCTGCATTCACGTACAACCACCCACACACATGGATACACACATTCCCACACGCACATTGCTGTGCTCTATGGCGGCGGCTTACCCGCCTCTGTCGACCTCCTTGAGCAGGACCAACCTGTTGTCGGCCAACATCTCCAACATATCCTTGCAATACTGACCACCAGTCGACAACACATACAAACGAAACGCCCGTTTGTGTATGCATGCACCCTTCCGATGCCTGTGAGCGTGATCCATTCTCTGCCTGGTTCGCCATGCGTACCGTACCCTCATCTGGTGGTCACTCGTCGCAACGGCGCTGGCCCTTCTCTTCGGCACTCGCGGCGGACTCCATCGGTCGGTGAATGGCGGGCGAACGGCTCTGCAAACCTCTGACCGAGTCAGAGAGGTGCGCGACAATGCGCCTTGCGGCGGACGACAGACAGAGAGAGGAGATTCGACTGTTGGTGCAGCTGCACTCACGAGAACTCCGCAACGCACTTCATCGTTCGCTGAAGGAGTTGAGTGAGCGACGCTTCTGGCCCATGACGCCGCCCGTCCGCTCGCACCGACGGGCGAGGGACGAGGAACGAAGAAGGCAAATGGTGGCAGCAGCCGTCGATGTCTGGCTTCGGTGGCAGAGGCAGCCGTGACGAGGAAGGCGACAATCCACATCCTTTGCTTTCGAGGGACGCCGTCTCAAATCTCGACGGCGTCTCACGGGGGGCGCGCCCCCTTCTCCTCTTCCATCGGTGATGTCGTTTGCCTTTTTACGCCTTATCCTCCTTCTGTATCAGCTTCCATCGACCAGTTCAGTGGAGCCCTTCTACGACCGGCTGTTTCACATCGCCTCATCCACGGCGAATGACTGCGTTTCTCTGCGTATCATGCAGCCCAATTCTGTCATCGACAGCCTCGTCCAGGCCCAGATAGAGCCCACGACCACACCTTTGCCGCCGACAACCACTGATCTGCCCACCACGAACGCGGAAATATCAACCACGGACGAGCCAGCCACGACAAGCACAGAGCCGCCTCTTTCGACATCCACGATTCAACCATCCCCCACACCGGCAGCTGCTCCGCCAGACGATGACACATCAACGAGCACGCCTGCCGCCTCTCCAATCACCGAGCCGCCAGAAGACACATCCCCTCCGATGTCGCCCTTTCAAGTGGCGGCATCCACGGCCCCTTTCGGCCACTATGACTACGGCAAGTCGGTGTGGGGCCAGCTGTTCTACCTTCGCTCGCGGGGCGAGTCTTACTGCATTGCCAGCGACTATGACACCCTCAACCTTCGGAGGGAGACCGCCTACAACCTCACGGAGCAGGCGACACTGACCTCTGCCCAGAAGGCGGGCGATGATGTGTTCCTCCTCAACTTCCTCATCGTGCCCATGGGGGGCTGTGTGGCCGCCAAGAAAGCCGCCGTCGCCGCGATTGAGAGCAAGGCCATCGACGTGCTTATCATCTACGCCCCGGACACCACCGAGGCGTATGAGTACACAGGCAACGAGACAGACGGGCGGGTGAGGTCCGTCACCGTCAACGCCACGGTTGACGGGTTCCGACACTTCACGGCTTTTGATGATGGCTATGGGTCGACCCTGTCTCTCCCGACCGTCTTGGTGCCATACAGGGAAGGCCGCATTCTCTTCGACGCTGCAAGGGACGTGTCGAGTAAGATACTGGGCGACCCGAACGCAGTGGTGGTCGACAAGTCTTCCATCGTGGTGGAGCTGTCCTTTCTGCGCGACCGGCCGATGTATGACACGGCCAAGCTCGACGTGTGGCTCACTTCGGGGTCGCCTGAGGCTGCCCACTTCCTGAAGCCGTTTTCTGACGCCATGCTGTATCTGAGGGGGCTGGTCGCTGTGGAGTTCCACTACCAGATCCAGCGGGGCGACAAATCCAATGAGCTCACCGTGAGCGCGCGCAGGGCATTTTCACCGCTGTGATGGTTGTTCATTCAATTCGAGCAGGTGCAAGACTATTGTTGGTCATTTACTGGTGGCAAGACCTCTCTCGAGTACTGCTCGGCTGATCCGGATGCACACGGACCCATCACCGGAGCTGAGGTAGCCATGTAAGTCAGTCACTGGGACAGAGAGGGCGTCAACAACAACCAGAATGTCCCCCTGTCCTGAATAGGTAGTCGAGGAGGATTTGCGCCGTCTGTGTCTCTTCGATCGCTCCAACCCAGTGGCAGCCGCACCTGTACCTGCCAGAACCTTCGCAGTCGAGCCGCCGAGAAATATCACCGCCCCTGACGAGGGAGAGAAAGCAGAAGAGGACTACCCGCGAGACTTGCACCCCTTCCCAGAGACCTTCTGGCGCTACCTCAAGGCCGTCACCACCCACTGCCCCCTCAGTGCCGACCCAACGGCCTTCACCGAAGTGGCTGCCGTGACGGCTGAAGACGTCGATGACGAGGCCGCCTTGGTGTTCCCCTACTTCAGCGAGGGGTGCAACAGCGAGATGCTGGCCGAGAATGCCATCTTCATCGCCGCAGAGGTGAAGACATGCATGGCCGACACGGGCACGGGGGGAGGGGAGGAGCTCCTCAGGAGACAGAGGGACGACAGAAACAGCACCAACTGGCGCGCGTCAGTGGTGATATCGGGCCCCGGGATTCGCTACGGCAACGCGCTGGGCGGGGAGGGGCTTGATGATCCCGCCCCCTTTGCTGTGGCGATCAATGGATGGCGATACACCGGTCCAGTGACGCCTGAAGGAGTCACGAGAGCGCTATGCGCCACACTGGCGGGGCCGTGGCCGAAGGAATGCGACCACGCCATCTACGTAAGCGAGAGAGTGGCGAGACACAAGACATGACGTGACTTAATGCAGGGCGTCGAGGAGGAGGAGGAAGAGGAGGAGGATGAAGGACCGTTGCAGCTGGAGGTATCGAGAGACGATTCGCTGATCATTATTGGGGTGTTTGTGGGGCTCCTGGTGGTGGGCGTGGGCATATACTTCTGGCTCTTCCGAACATCAGCACCGCCACACCCGCTCCCCGAGGTGAGGTGAGCACCCATCCACACACCCACACCGACCAACAGACAAGGCACTCAGGACCACAGAGAACAGGCGCTTATCGGCGCACAGAAGAGAAGAAGGCTGTCCTTTTCCCTTTTATCTCCTGTTCAGGTGGAGGAGCTCTTTGACGACCTCGGAATCACCCAGCGACACATATTCGATATGTACAAGTAAGCATTCACATACATAGGCATGCATCTGCCAGATGTCTCGCCCCCTACCACCGTCATGTCAGGCATTTTGTGCGCATCCACCAGCTGGAGACCGGCAAGCGTCTGCATGTGGGTTGGATAACCGAGGTGCCCACCAAGGGCATCATACACGTCGTCCGCAGCCACAGAGACGCCGTCGACAAAATCGTTGAAGCACTCTTCGACCTCGCCGGTCCGTCAACCACACGCAAATGACTCCCTCGCTCCCAATCTCCGTCTCCTCTGTGTGTCTCAGGTGCCGGCCGCGAGACAACATGGGATGTGTATCTGTACACCACGCTCATGTTTGCCAGCCTGTCCTTCATGGAGCTGGCCCAGTTCATGTTTTACACGATCCTGAAGATCTCCCGCTCATGGACGGTGCACTACATCGGCCCCCAGCAGCTCAACACCTTCTACCAGGCCTATGAGAACCACTCCGTCGAGTCCTTCGACGCGGCGTGGATCGACTTCACGCTGGAGCCCTACGAGCGATTCTATCTTGTGGACTTCGTCGAATTGTGCCACAGGTGTGTTCGGGGGGGCTGCATGGCGAGGTTGATGTCCTGACGTCTCCTGCGACGGCATTTCAGGTACCCAGCGATGCTGAGTGTGGCTGTGTTTCTGCAGCGTGAGATTCGGCACGTCTGTCCGTGTCTCCTCTTCTGGGAGGACTGGCAGAGAGTCGAAACACTCAACAGACACGTACACCTAACACACTCGCCCGCACCCACCGCACCCCGATATGCCTTTTGCTTTCACACAGATCGGCATTGGCTTTTTCCGCATCGACCAGAGCCACGTCAACCTCCGCGCCAGCCAGGGCTTCACACCGGCCTGCGACATACTCGTGGCACAGTCGCCCCTCGCCAAGTTCTCCAGAGCCGTCAAGACCGGCGCCACACCAGAGGCGCGCAGGTACGCACCCCAGGCACCGCCAGACATCCCCGGCGTCCCCTCACCTAGCAGCAGCAGCGCGAGCAGCAGCCATGGTGAAGCAGAGGCAGCCGAAGAGAAGAAGAGACCTTCTGTCGTCACCGCTGCTGCCGTGTTGGCCACAAAGGGGAAGCGACCTGCTGATACGCTGGGGGTGCAGCCGGGGAAGCTTTCTGACCTGTTGCGGCAGCGGAGAAAGAGCAGCCGCAAGGCAAGCTATGCCCCATCAGCAGCAGCAGCAGCACAACAGGAGACACCTGATGCAGCAGCAGCAGCAGCACCCCCCATGGCTGCCCTGTTCGGCCGGGCGATGCATCGCCGCAGCAGCGTGCGGTCATCTGTCGCAAGCCCCCTCTCCCCTTTTGTCCCCGCTCCCGCTCCCGCACCCGGCCCCACCCCCACACCGCTTCACGTCGCTGCCGATGTCGCGAGCGACCAACAGATGGCCTTGGCCGACAGGGGCAGCAAGAAAGGCATCCTCATCACATCGAGACAACAACAGCAACAGCCCGAGGCCGACATCAGCCCCAGCAGGCGCAACATCGCCTTCAGCGACGACCGGACCCAAGACGCCTCCCCAGCAGCACAAAGGGACAAGAGCCCTTCCTCTTGGGGCAGGATGGCCACACGGCTGCCCAAGACGGGGTCATCCCGCCTGGCTGTCAGGGCGGGTAAGAGCAGGTCTGAGTCGTCGTCGAGCAGCGCGAGCAGCGGCAAGAGCTCGGCGTCAGTGGGGGCGGCGGGCAAGGACACGCTATCGAAGCTGAAGATCGTGTCTCGGTGAGTGAGCCAAGAGAGAGTGGAAGGCTGTATGGTGTGTTGTCATTGGTGTTGACATTGGTGTTGTGTATGTCAGAATGAACGACATGATGATGGTGCGGTCGTGGCGGCAGCAGGACCAGCAGCCGTTTGAGTACGACAAGATGCTCATGCACGCGACCAAGCAGCCGGGGATCATACACAAGGCCGACGAAGGGGAAGAGACTGTCTGACTAACTCACTGACTCACTGATCTACGTTTGATTGTGTGTGAAATGTATGTATCAGCTGGCCAGAGGGATGTCCGGGGGAAGGATGCTGGTGCTGCTGGGCGGTGGTGAGCTCGGCAAGTCTGACCGACCAACGGGACAGTTTCGTTTCATTCTCATGTGCTGTATTATGGGATTGTGTGTACCTTCGCTTGAGCTCCTCATTCTCGCGCTGCAGCTGAGCCTCCCGCAACGACACGCCCACCCTGCACACACACACACACATACACACACATACAGACATGTGGACACTGAGAAGTGAGACAGCCAATCGACACCCACCTATCATCTACAGCATTGGGAGCAGCAGCAAGGTGTGCCGACACCGGGGCGTCCTGTCCGCCCTCATCATAGTGCGATGACCTGGTAGCACACGCAAAGCCAATACGTGACGAGCCGCCTGTGTGGTGTGGTGTGGGTGGGTCAGCCTGTCCACGCTAGTAGTGGCTCTTGGTATGATGCTGATGCTGTTGCGAATGCGGCTGCTGCTGCTGCTGGTGCAGCACTGGGATGGTCGTAGCTACTGGACGAGGGACAGGCATCAAACGCGGATCTGACACGATGCAACACAGACATGGCGATTTGGTGGCGGCCATGTGGCGTGTGTTGGTCGGCAGCTCACGTATACGCACCTTGGCTCGCAGAATGGCGACTGACGGGTGTCGTCGTGACTCAACGAAGTCCCCAACGGCCTGAAGAGTTGCATGCAGAACCGTCACCCACCGGTGTGTCCGTGAGGTGGCCTCATATCGGCCTGTATGTGCCTGACTTGGGGTACTTGACGAGTGGCGGAGGGCCGCGGTGATATGAGGGACGATACCCACTTGACGAAGAGGCAAACAGGCCGTCACTGATACAAAGAGAGACGACGACACACAGCAGCGCCATTCATTGTGCACATCCGTCCATCCCCTTCTCTGTGTCTGTCTGCTTACAGCTGCTGTGACACATGCCCTAGAGGCGGGAATTCCTCATCGGCACCGCTCGCCGGTTGGTGTGCAGGTGGGAGGGGCGGAGGGGGTGGGGTCGACGACACAAACGAAGGCCGCTTGGCCGACTCGCGCAGCTCCTCAGCCGACGGCAGACAGGGAGAGGGAGGGACCGGCCGAGCCGCTGAGGATGGTGCAGCAGCTGGCACGCCCAGCCCCCTGCCTCTGCCCAACTTGCTGCCTGCCGATGGGCGCGGCAGGCGCTCCTCGCGGGGCGTCTGGTCGGCCGTCGACATGCCGCTGGGGCGGGAGAGCAGCAGACGGTCAGCTGACAGCTGCTCAGTCGTTTTGTGCTTGGCCGTGGGGGGCTGGAAGGGCGAGAAGGGGGGACGAGTCGACTCTTCGGTGTGGGTAGCTGGCTCGGGTCTGGTGGGTGCCGCCGCCTTGTACTGTTTGGGGTTGGTTGTCTGCTTCTGCCTTTCGATGGCGCGGCTGGCGAAGGTAGACTCCAGCAGCAGGGCGTCGCTGTCCTCCTCAGCGTCATCCGCTGCCACAGTGCTGTCCGCCTGGTCGTCTTCGCCACCCGGCGGGCTGCTGGTGGAGGTGGAGGTGGCTGTGGCTGTGCTGGGCTGCCCCTTGCCCGTCTTCGTCTGCCCCTTGCCCCCCTTGCTCTTCTTCTTGCCCGCCTTCGCCATAGTTGCCTCCTCCTCTCTGATGAGAGCCTCCGCTTTGGCGTCGGCTTCCCTCTGCTGCCGCGCCAACTCGGCCGCTGTGGGGGCTTCCCTGGCCTCTCGCGTGGCCTGCCGCCTCTTGTGTGTGTTGTGTTTGTCGCGGTGCTCCTTCAGCTTCTGCAGCCGCTCCTGCGCCTCGATGGTGGCAGGGCGCAGCTCGGGAATGATCAGCTCCTTGACAACTGTCCCGCGCTCCGCCACCACCAGCTTGCGAAGACGGCGTTCTCGCTCTGTGGCTGTGGGCATGAGGGCGATGTCGCCACCGACAGTTAGGAGCACACGGATGGTGGTCTTGAGGTTGGAGATCCGGATGGTGGCCCGATCCCTCTCGGCCTGCTCCGTGATGTCCCGCAGCCGTTGTGTGTCGTCATAGAGCTGTAGGGCGGCGACGAGGAGGGGTGTGTGCGTGGGGGCATGCAGCGTCCCTCTGTTGATGTCAGCAGCGGTGAGACGGCGGCAGAGAGAGGCAGCGACACGGTGGGAGCCGCTGTAGGTCGCGAAATGCAATGGCGTCCCTCCCTCGTTGTCCACGGCCGCGATGTCCACCCCGTTGGCCACCAGCAGGTCGATGTAGCTCTCGATGAATTGCTGAGACCAGACGGGATGGCTCGAGGCCGCCCAAGGCACCAGGTTCAAGGTGCCACACGGGTCCCGCTCAGTCGCGAGTGTGCTGTCCCGCTGGATGAGCTGCCGGTAGAAGGACAGCAGCGTGGCCTCGCTGTCCTCATTCGGCTGGTCCGTCGGCAATGTGGGCGGCAGACCGATCACGTATCGCCCCTGCAGCTAGATGCCTGGAAGAGACAGACAGACAGACAGAAAGACAGACGTAAACCATGCTGTGAATGGGTGTGTACCTGGCTGGCCCATCAGGAGGCCGAATGCCTCCGGGTTGCACGAAGCGATGGACACTCGGATGGGCGTATGGTCGCTGCTCTGACCCGCATTGATGTCGGCGCCGTTGTCGATCAGAGCCTGCATGACGGCGAGCTGGAGGCCGGGGGTCTGCCACATGGGCATGACGACCGGACGCGCACCAGCATCGCCGTCGTATGCCCAGATGGACGGCACGCTGTTGTCGATGGGGTTGTCAATGCACAGCGAGAGCATAGAATAGGCTAAATAGGCACCCGTAGAGCTCGCCCGCAGCCCCGCCATCAAGTCGGGATCCGATCCCTGCTGCTGGATAACGTCCGTGACCTGCTGTGCGTCAGTGATGGCGCGCTCCATGATGCCCTTGGACAGAATCAAGCTGGCGTCACCAGTGCCAGCAGGGACGCTGACGTCGACCCCCGAGCTCTTCCACCCAGGTGGTAACGGCGCACCTGTGGTTGGCACAACAGGGAGCTCGAGCGGCGATTCTGATTTGTGTGGCGGTGGGTCGGCCGGCGTGTACCTCTGTTCTGTCGTCTCCGGCTCTGCCCGCTGCGCTGCTGCCCGCCAGCACCCTCACCGACGCCGACACCGCGACTCCCACAAACACGGCCAACACCGCTAACACCGCCACCAACACCTGCACACATACAGACGAGCAGTCGTGACCGTGCTGCTTGCTATATCTCACAGCCCGTCGCTCACCCTTGTCAACGCCATCATTGCGATTGTCTTTGTTCCCTATGTGCTGACCGCCACCGTTGGTCTCCTCCTCGGCTACATCGTCTGCAAAGGAACACACACATCCACACACACGATGATGCTGTGTGTGATGTGTGATGTGCTGCATCTGTCTGAGCTGCGTGTACCTTCATCGGTACCGCCACCGTCCACCGGGCCAGCAGGGGCCATGTCGCTGTCCTGACGACCCGACGACATCGCTCTCACTCACTCAAACAGACGGACAGCTGCACCATGGACCACGCACACAGATGGCCTGCAGGCACCTGATGCATGTGTTGTGTGCATCAGTGCTTGCCTATCAAAGTATGAGCCGGCGGCCAGCCGCACACGCTCAATCAACCAACAAGTCCGCAAACAGATCGTCCTAGTCTGTTTGTGAATGTGCCAATCGCCGCATCTTCCGACTCACCGTCGGACGAGAGGCCGCTACGTGGTGCGTTCGGCTATTGGCGTTCGGCAGTGACGATAAGCCGCTGATGGATCAGTTTGCACACGAGAAGCGGCTGAGCGATGGAAACGGACTCGTCCGCTCAGCAAGAGGGCCTGGGCATCCGCTCCAGGGCCGCACTGTGCCTCCAATGGCGCACCGGGGAATGTCTGTTGTTCTCGGCACGTTTCTCAGGCTCGCATCGATCAGCTGAGTTGGCAGATGGGGGCGAGGGAGCCCTCCCGATTGGCTCACAGGGCACTTCGGAAGTCACATCATTCACCCGCAGTGAGCCCGGCCCACTTTGGATGAATTGCTTTCGGTGAAAGAGCAGCTCACGTTGTTCACTGTACAGTACGTGCATGCTGAATGTATGTGTGTCATGAATGGCTGTGCGTGTGTGTTCGTCGTGATGACTGCAGACAGACAGACAAACTCATAGGTGCACACACTCATATCCATCCATCCATCCAGTGTGTCATGCAACGACAGGTTTCTGGCTTTCCATGCACGTAGGCATCCACGTCAGTGACATCCAGTCGGCGTGGGAGTGGCTCACTCCAACCAGTGCCTGTCTGTCTGTCTGTCTGGCTGGCTGGCTGGCCTCCTTCTCTCCCCGCTGAACACGCAGGTCAGACCACAAAGATGGTCCGTTCATGCAAGCCAGCCAATGCGGACTACCATTGGTTAACACATCGATCAAATGCAATCAATGTCATTCAGTCATTCACTCACCACACACACATACATCCATCCAGCCACAACAGAGAGCTCCCTTGAAGTCCGTAGTCTTTCACGAGTATGTTGGCGTGTGCGTCTTGGCCCCTCCAAACAATCCAATGGTCATCATTCAGTGCATCAGATAAGGCCCAGGGGGTCAGGAAAGTGTCACACCCACCCAGACACACGAAGCGATATAAGCGTCCAGCACAGTACAGTTGACACCGTGGGCCTCGCCATTCATTGTCAACATGCGCCACAACATGCCCCCCGCATCAGTCACGACAGCGCGCACAGCGCCGTGCCACGGAAAAAAGCGCAAAGGCGTCATAAAGCGCCTACGAAAAATGCGACTGACATCTGACGCTTTGTGAGATGCATAAAGCTGATACTTACAGTCACAAAATTACGACTCATGCATCAAAAAGAGAAAAACAGCCAGGACTTCACTTGGTTCTGTTCTAGTCTTGTAGGGGGTCTCCGTGCGTCACCCCGACAGCCCTCGCCAGCTCCCGCGCCTCAGCCACGACCAGAGCCCCCAGCTGGTCATACTGCGGCCACAGGTCCGGGTCCACGATGAGATTGGATCGCACGCGCCCGGCGTAGCTCAAGAAAAACAGCTGCGGCAGCAGATCTGGATACACCACCTGTGTCACACACACACACCCACACACATAGCTACAGACGTATTGATTTTAGTGCCTGTGTGGCTTCGTCAGCTCACCTGCACGTCGTGGACAGGTTTCCCGGCGAATGTGCACAGTTGCCGCGGTCCGGGGACATTGGAGGCGACGAAAGAGTGGCGTGCGAAGTAGCCCAGGAGTAGCCGTGACGTGACAGACCAGGGCGCCAGCTGGCCCACGGCAGCCAGCACACGGTATGTCGCCGTCGGCTGCTGCCGACTCTTCAAACTGGCCGTTTCCTGAACTCACACACACACACACACAGAGAGAGAGAGAGAGAGAGACGGGTAAGCGATTCACGCACGCACCCCCCTCCCTCAGTCACCTGTGCCATTTGCATGAGCCTCTCCTTGGCGTCCGTGATGTGTATGGGCAGCTGTGTGGACACCACCATGAAGCCCTGACGCAGCACACGGCTCGCGGGCACATCATCATCGAGCGACCTGCAGAGGGTTGGTTACAAAATGAATGCATACACGGAAGACTACACCGGGAGAGAGATGTTCTACTTAGCCAGCCGACCTTGGCAGCGCCATCTGTAGTCTCGGTAGGGCGAAGGCTGTGAGCGCCCGCAGGAGGGCTGTCCCACCCTCAGACTTCAGCAGGGGGTCGTCAACAAGACCTCCATATCTACACAACAATCAGCCACCAGCCACCAGCCACCAGCCACGAATACGTACTCTCCAACGATTCAGTTTCACATTGCCCCCACCTCACCTCCTGATCGCCCCAGTGAATATCGCGAGCAGCACATCGGTGAGGGACACGTCCCCTGCAGCCTTCTTGATGGCTTTCAGGTACGACAGACGCAGAGACGGAAATACGACGAGCTGACACAGGCACAGGCACCGATCACTCCACCACATCGTCCATGTCCCTGTCTGTCTGTCTGTCTGTATGTCGGTGCGTTACCTTTCGCCGCCCATAGGTGAGCCTTTTCCTGCGGCCCAGCCCCCCATTGAATGAGAAGCTGCCGTCGTACCTGCCCAGCGTGTGGCCAATAGCAGCCACCAAGGCGTGGATGAAGTGGTAAACGCCAACCGCCCACTGGAACCACGTCCGACTCCGACGCCTGCCCTGCACGAGGGGCTGCTGCTCTCGCCCGCCCACCTTTGTCCACTCGCTCTCTGTCCCGCTCTCGGAAGTGCCGGTGGATGTCGCAGGAGTGTGGGTGTCGGCTCTGATACCTATGAGGTCCAAAAGAGGAAGCACCTCGTCCTTGGCCTGGGTTCGGATGAAGCCGCACTGGTGCAGCAACATGAAGACGCCCAGGCCGTCAGCGATGGCGTGGTCGATGCGGAGCACCAGGCACGATGACGACGTGTCGGTTCTTGCGACGGCAGACATTAGGTGCACCTCCCAAAGTGGGCGCGTCTTGTCGAGCGGCCGGTCCATAACGGCTTCGATCGTGCTGTGAAGGTCCTCTGTGGATCGGACGGTGTGCTCGGTGAAATGCGCTTGAACCGTGACAGGGACCTCGCGCCAGGACCAGCCCGAAGGCACTGACCTGAAGGACGGAATCGACAATCAGACGACAAACGTTTGTTTGTCTGCTAAGTACCTCATTCTGTGGTACTGGAGGAGATGCGACTCGAACAGCTTGACCAGGTCGTCCCTCAGTGGCAAGTCCTTCATGTGCAGACACAGGTTGATGGCAGTACCCGGGAGATTGACCTGCACGCCACATCAATCGAAGTCACAATGCCTGCCTGCCTGCCTGCCTGCCTGCTTCTCTGTGTCTTCCTGCGTACCGTACCTGTGGTGGGAACAAGCCCCGACTCAATGCCCAGCTTGATACGCTCTGACCATGCAGCCGGCCATCCAGAGAGATACACACATACATCCATTACATTGACTCGCAGCCAGCTGCCATCCATCTCCTGTGTTCTCACTCACCATTGTCCTCTCGATAGGAGGTGGCGCCATGAGCCGCAGACGAGATGCGATTGCCAAAGAGCACGTCGAGCGATGGAGATCAGGCACAAGGGCACTGCAAGAATGTGACACTGGTTATCGAGGACGTCTACGTTGGCAATTCAATGCATCCCTTCGTGACGTACCTGCTCCCAACGGTGCGGAGATCTCTGGCGCGCTCTGGAATAGGGCAGTGGATGAAACGACCTCAGCGAGAAAACCTCTCTTGCGTCGTTTTGATGATGGCTCTTCCTTCGGGTATGAAGGAGGATAGAGGCAGAGGGGACATGGCCTCAGCCAAACCCAAGACTGCCATCCCTCCTCGCCACGAGCGGCAGGCATCGCCCGCTGCAAACAGCTGCTCAGGCGGGGAATCGAAGGTCAGTCAACACACTCACCAAAGAAGCGGCCAAAAGCTCCATTTGCAGCATCGTCGCCGTGTTGTTGTGTCACAGGCTCACACGCAGTGCACGTCGCAGTGCGCGGAGCGGTACCGTGACAAGTTCAATGACAAGCTGAAGGGCATCCTGGCGGGTGTGACGAAGCTGCATCCGCAGTGGCGGACGGAGCAGGCTGCCGTGGCGTTGTGTGAGCGCGGCACTGCTCTGAGGCGGCACCTCGTCAACCTCCTGCAGTGGCGGGAGCGCGTGTTGGCGGCACACCAGGAGGACCCTCTCGATAGCGACCTGCGCGAAGACGTCAGTGGGCCTGTGAAGGGTTTTCCTTGCTGTTTCGTTCACCTGTGTGTGTGCGTTGTGTGTGGCAGGTTCGTATCGCGCTGCGGTTTCTGGGTCGTGGTCGTGATCCGTGCAAGAGGCCGGCCTGTCCGTCCTCGACACGCCGACCCCCCTCGGCCTCACAGGAGTCACCCGACTTCCGCAAACTGGTCAGTGTGGGCGACATCGATGTGCACACTGGGCAGACACACACATATATCGCGCTGTATACACATCCCCATCTCTCTCTCTCTCTCTGTGTGTGTGTGTCTGTGTGTGGTGTATCTGGAAGTTGAGTGCGGTGTTTGACGATCTGATCTCCGCCCCCAAGAAGCACGGCCAGGGCCTGCTGCTCGAGACTTTCTTCGCCCACACTGACGAGATATACAAGAAGACCGACGCAGAGCGGCTGAAACTCTTCGAGGTCAGTGAGTGGGTGGGTGCCTGCAACAACACCACATCGACACTGACTGATGTCACATGAGTGTCTTGTATGTGTGCAGTCGCTGGCTGCGTTGGGCGATGCTCCGTGGTTCACCAAGCCGCCACAGTACCTCAAGGAGCGCACCATCCGTGTGCTCGAGGCGGCGCTCAACTCGCGCACACACGACGACAGCAGAGGGGCGGAGCGGCGGTGGATCACGCAGCAGCAGGCAGACGTGCTGAGCGGGATGCTGGCGCGCATTCGGCAGGCGCGGACCGTCGAGGAGGAAGCCGCCAAGAGGGAGAAGGTGACGCCATGACGCCAACACCCGCATGTGCCACCAACCAACACGCGCATCTATGGCCCCTGTGTGGTTTGTCCTGCTGCCTTGTGGTGCAGGTAGAGTATTCGAATCGCGTGAGGTCGTGTCTGAGGTCGCTGGACGTGGCCTTTCCCCGCTGGCGCCTCGGCGATATCCACCCCTCCATCTTCCACTGCGCCAACAACGCTGCCGTGGGATGCGCACTCAACATCTCTAGGTACAACACATGACATGGCTGGACCATCGGAGAGGGACAGGGAGTGCAGTGCAGCTGGGGTTGGTTCTGTGTGGGTGCTTGGTCGTTGGTCGTGCACTGCAGCAAGTTGGAGGACCTCTGTCTGGAGCATTTCCCGAACGGCGACGCCAAGATCGACTCGCTCTACCCCAACATGAAATTAGATGTACCCACGCACACACACACACACACGCACCCCTCCCTAACACAAGCACACCCGCATGTGTGTGTGATGGTCTGCAGATGGAGAAGGCCCGCATCTACCTGCGCCGCGTCAAGGAGCGGCGTCTCGAGCTTGCCGAGTGGCGCCAGGCCCTCGGCACGCTGCACAGCGACATCATGCTGCCGACACACACTAAGACACACATCGACAGCTCCGAGGGCGACGCCACCACCAGTGCCCATCTGATGGACCGTGTCGACGATCTGTTTGGTCGCGAGAGCGGTGTATGGAGCAGGGAGAGGGAGGAACATGAGATGACCTGGACGGTGAGTGAGTGAGCGACCGACAGATGCGCGAGTGTGTGTTCACATTGCACCTATGGTGCGTGTGTGCGTGTGTGTGTGTGTGTATGTGTGTGTGCAGATGATAATTGAGCTCGAGAGGGATTTGCAGCGCGACCTGCCGCCGGCTGTGCGGCAGAACGTCACGGCCACTCTGGACAGGATCATCAGCTGTAAGCCAGCGCACGCACACACACGTGCATCCGCGTGTGGGCCATGGGCATGGGCGTGTGTGCTTCTTCTCGTGTGTCGCAGATTGCTCAGAGGACGGCAAGTGGAAGAAGAGCGCGTGGCTATCGCAGAACCAGGTACGTCGAACAGATGCACACGCCCATCGTGGGCATGTCGTACAACACCTGTCTGTGTGTCATGCAGTTCAAGCGCATCCACAGGCTCGTCTGCCCCCCCGACAGCGGCAAGAAGCTAGCCAGCCGCAGCACCATCCCTGACCCCAACCGGCCCATCCTGCCCCCCACACCTCCCCCCTCACCACCCCCTGTCAACAGCAGCAACAACACAGCACCCGAAGTCACCACACCCACACCCACACCCACACCATCAGCACCAGCACCCGTACCCTTCTCCCTGGCGGCTTCCAAGACGTCTGTCAAGGCCCTCAGTGCAGACAAGCGCGGACCGGAGGTGGCGCACCCTGCCCCCAGCACCAGCACCAGCACCGGCAGCGGCAGCGGCAAGGCACACGTCGTCGACACGACGACACCCAAGTGCCAGTCCCGGCTGAACGCGAGCGCCAAGGAGTTTGTGCCCAGCAGCAGCAGCAGCAGCATCGGCGGCATCAAGGGCATGCGCAAGGGAGGAGGGGCTGATGACGGCGTGCAGATGTACGAGAAGGGCTACATGTGTGAAAAGAGCTTCTACCCCTACGGCCAGGGCCCGATGGCGCACCTCTGCCGTGATGGCGGCAGCTCAGCCTTGCCTTCGACCCCTCCCCCTCACTCCCCCCAAGAGCAGCAGGAGCAGCAGCAGTTCAGCTACAGTGTGGTGCAGATGCCGCTGCGCGACCTGCCGGCAGAGGCCATGTGCACCATCGCTGAGGACGTCTTCATGCTCCCCGTCGGCTCACCCGTGCCGCATCCCGTCGATGAGTACGAGTACGCCTGTGCCGAGGAGTGGTTTTCCCAGCAGCAGCAGCTCGAGCAGGAGCACTACGACTTCGAGTGCCGCGAGTGTTTTGACGGCCACGAGTGGATGCCTGAGACGGGCATGGGCACGGGCATGCACTCGTGGGGTCCGAGCGGTGGGTGTGCTTCCGGATGGGGGCAGAGGGGCGGAGGGGGGATGGTGATTCAGTAATTGAAGCTCACACAAGCCCCTCCCCCGCAGTCTAAGCAGTCCTCTGCGATTTGTGTCTAAGCAGCAAGGACAGAAGGAAGAATTGAGGCAGGGAGGGAGTGAGGGAGGGTGGTGGGGTGGGTGTCAGATCAGGGGCTCAGGGCTCAGGCTTTGGTTAGGTTTGAGGGCATTTGTTGTCCAGGTGAATTCAGCGGCCCCCCGTGTGTGCGTGTGTCTGTTTGATGGATGGATGGATGGGTGTTTCTCGTCGCTGCTGCCCTCAAGCTTTTTCGTGTGGGTCAAGGGATGCGCATTGCGGGTGCCTGGGTGGGTGCGCGACGGACTGAGAAAGAGGGGAAGGAGGAAGCTCTCTGCTGCCCGCTTTGCGAGCATCTTGATGCTGTGTCTGCCTCGGCTGCGTGCGCTGCGCGTCGTGTTGTTGATGATCTCGTTTGGGATGCGTGGAACGGCGCAGCTCCCGCACCACGTTTCGCAAGCGGGGACTCGACTGACACGGCCTGCACTCATGCAATGAGGCCAAGGAGGAAGGAAGAAAAAAGACAGACAGACAGCCATCGGACGTATGGACAGTCCATAGCAGACAGAGGTGCCAGCCATCAGTCAACGCACCGTTTTGGCACCTCAACCTGTTGTCTGTGAGATCCATCGCATGCAGAGATCAGTCACTCTACACGCGGCTGGCCCTACCTCTGTGCACCACAGATAATCATGATCTACACGTCAAATCTACGTCTACATGAGGCATCCCGTTCTCCACACGTAGCGCATATAGTCAGCGTTCTCCCTCAGAGCCTTGCTAAGAGGCTCAAATACTTCACTGTCAGGCGCCTACACACACACACACACACACAGACACACACACACACAGACACACAGACACACACACAGAGAGAGAGAGAGACACACAGAGAGAGAGAGAGAGATCCACACTCACTCCATGCCGAAACAACTCTGTCAGAAGTTACCCCCTTGGTGAGCGTCACGGTTGTCGACTGCGTCGAGTACGTGCTACCAGGACTTTCCATGTAAATCACACAGATACACAGATACACACACTTTCCACCTATCCGCTGTCTCCCGTGTGTCCTTTGCCCACGTGTGCATCTCCGCATCGAGGTAATCCCGCCAGTCGAGCTCTCTGTAGGCGTCCATGGCCACTGTGTGCGACATGGGAGGCAGCCGCTGACACACAGAACACACACGGATGGAGAGACGCCATGAATCCGTCCCTACCGGTGCGTTGAACTCTGCACTGTCTTGTGAAGGGTCAGGCAGGCGGAAGTTGTCGAATAGGTCGCCGAGTGACTCCCACGACCTCTCCCACACATACAAGTCGCCATCCCTCTCACAACCCAATGGATGCCTTGACAGACAGACAGACAGACATTCGAACAAACAGACACAATCATCAAGAATACCAGTGCAAAGGCGTGCGTCATTTTGCTGTACCTCAGCTGCTGCCCTGAGTAGCTATCGTAGAAAAACGAGCCGTCATGGCGAACAGAGGCAGATGTGCTGGGCCCCATCTGCTGAACGGACGGCTGACTGGGCGGCACTCCATCAGGCTGACGGGCAGCGTTCGCGTGCTGCACACACAGGAACAGGCGTAGGCATGCGGAATGCATGTGTGTTTCCCCTTTCCACCTCGAGCTCACCTTCTGGATGCGCCTCAGATCAACAAACGTGAAGGGGTCCCCCTCGACGCGCTGATGTGTCTTTGCAAACTCGCCTGCTGACATCGTGGCACATCAAGGGTCTGGCCAGGGGAGCAGCGAAAGGCCTGAGAGATCTGAACGGCCGAAGAGGGCGCCAACTCATTTAGCTCGCACTTTTCATTCCGGCGACTGTTAGATCTCGGCAAATTGATGTGCAGATCTCATCTTCCACGTCCGCCGATTATCACTGACTGAAGATGCGAGCGATGAGGGTGCGGCTGGTGCCTCCCGTCAACGCAGCAGAGCGGCTTGCATCCACCCTTGACCCACCAGTGATGTGCCTGCCGTCGTCCTGCCGCTCGAACCTGCACCGACAACCGCGGCCCCGGCATCTGCATTCGAGCAGTCTGTCCAAGTACTTCGCCAACATCTACTACAAGAAGATCTGCCCCACCTGCCAGAAGCCAAACATACTCCCGCTGGACAGGTGCACCTTCTGCGACACCAAGCTCACCGACCAGCACATCACGCGAGGCGGCAAGGAGATCATTCACGACGCCATGCTCAAGCGAGGGCCGGCAGCTGCAGCTTCTCGACCAGGGGCTTCTTCTGCTACTGCTGTGGGTTCTGGTCGTGCACGACCTGCATTCATCGATGGGGAGCTTGATGGTCCTGATGGGCAGCTGGTTGAGTACTACCGGTCCTACGAGGTGCTGGTGGTGCGCTACCCCTACCCGACGGCACAGTTCCACCTCTGCGCGCTGTCAAAGGTAGGTGCGCACACACGAGATGCATGGCTGCAGATGCTGGCTGGGCTGTGTTTGATGTGTTTGTGTGTCTGTCTGTGGTGTGTGCCGTTTTTGTGTGCGCCTCACTCACTCAGGACACGATGTACGATATCCGATCTCTGCGCAAGAACGACCTCAAGCTGCTGCGGCGAATGGTCCGGGAGGGCTACAGGAGCCTCACCACAGCCATCATGCAGCACACCAAGCGGCCCATTTCGCCGCAGCTGGTTGAGCAATTTGCCGTGGTGGGCTGCAACTACCCCAATGAGTTCAACCAGGTGCTGCTGCACCTCATCTTCCCGCCCATCGACCGCTACGCCATGTTTGCCAAGCCGTTCTTCTACCCAATACGCAAGATCGTGTCGGACATCGAGAGCTGGGGCCAGGTGCAGCCATATCGGCCGGCAGATGTGCTGCAGCAACGCAGTCATGACCCCGTGCTGAGCAAGATTCAGGAGTGTGACAGGGCCGTCAGGCGGGAGCTGCCGGGGTGGGGGAGCGCAGGCACGCATCAGAGGCCGACAGATGTGCAGGGAGAGGGGCGGCTTGAGTGACTAGCTGGGATGAGTGTCCTTGAGTGCTGATTATGCATTTGAGGGGGGATCGACAGGGACGATAGATGACTCGTATTGACTGTCGCATCAAGTCTTAAAACGGCTGGTGTCCTACGCTACGTCTATTGCGGTCCTCAATCTGCACACAAATACTCACTCGCTACCGTACCAGACAAAAGGTACCACACTTCACACACACTCACACCCACATAGACAAACCTACAACACTCACTTCTTGAAGAACTGTTCCTCAAAGAACCGATACGCGACAGCAAACAGCATCCCCTGCACACCATTCGTCAGCAGCCTCGTCGCAAGACCCCTCCCAAACAGGCCCCTCACACCATCCTTCTCAATAATCCCCGAGACCACCTCCCGATACGACGGCGAATCCTCGCTCGTCTGCTTGGTCGTCTTGATGACCCTCAACGAGTTGGACAGCGAGTCCGCCAGGCTTGACGCACAAAGCCCGATGAAGGCGTTGCGCATCAGCTTCATCAGAGTGTCCCCCGGTTCCACGGGCGGCAGGTGCTCCTGCAGGTAGTTGTAGGTGAAGAACCACGGATAGTGCCCGACGAATGTGGCGGCTGATGCGGCGATTGCGCCGTTGTAGAGGACGGTGGGGCCGGTCTCCTTGACTTTGTCGGAGACCTGGGGAATGCCGGCCGCGCCCCGCACCTGCATCGTGGTCTTGAACGTATCGACAGGAAATATCACCTGCACAAACACAGACAAATGGTCAGTCAGCATGTTTTGGCCATTGCCTGTATGTGGCTTACAATTCGCCACAGCCCAGCAGCCACAGATGCGCTCGCCGTCTTGACAAACAGCGGCAGCCCCATAGTCGACTCGAACGAGTCCAACAGAGCCAGCACACCAGCATTGGCGGCCGTGTCGCCGAACTTGCTCAGCGGCGCCTGCACCAGAGCAAAGGGCAGCCCGCGGTAGAACCTCGGAACCCCTCCCTCGCTCCACAGGGTGGCCAGCGTCGTGTTGAGAGGCAGACCCGTAGTGTACTGATAGTTCATGGACGTCCGCAGCCACATGAGGGAAAACACCTGCAGCACCGACGCGGCCGACCCTGAGAGCCCGCCACCGACGGCACGCTTGGCTGACTTCTGAAGAATGGTCTTCACGTCGACCTTCTTGGCCGTGGCTGATGATAGTGGTGCAGAAGCCGGCTCAGAGGAAGAGGGTGAAAGAGCCAGAGAGCCGTCTGCAAACTTCTTTTGCACGTTAGGCAGCTCGACAGCAACTGCAGCCTCTGCAGACGAGGGAGGAAAGCAGGTGGATAGAGCGATGGCCAGTGCCATTGCAAGTCGCTCCTGTCCATGCTGGAGCGCTTCGCGCCGACTGAACGTGCCCTCCCTGCGGCTGTGCCGCCTTGTTGAAAGAGCATAGTCATCATGTTCATCTTGCCTCCTCTCCCGTGTTGCCGTAAGTGTCCGCTCATGCGCCGAGGATGTGGACGCTGCTGCTGCATGGTGCCTTCTTGGTGGCGGCTCTCCGACGGCACCAAGAGCGCCATCTCGACGGACAGCCCAGAAAGGTGGTGGACGGGAAGGCGGCAAGTGATGAGTCTTCAGCGTCGAAAGGCATGGAACGGGCACACCATTTGCATGTGGTAGTCGCAAGAAGGCGGGGCTGGCGGACGCAGCGCTGAGGATGCATGGCATCCATACGTGTGAAAGGGACCAAAACAGCCTCATCTATGCCAAGATCTGTTCAAGTGCTTGAGACTTCTAAGCTCGCGAGATGAGGCGTGGGCTTTCTTTCATTCACAAGCATGCAGCGGGGCCCAGTAGTGGACTGGAAGGCTGAATTGTCAGTGCATGTCATCTGAAACCCTCTTCTGTCACGTCGCCCTCACTCATCATCTCTTGTGTCTCACAGAAAGAAGATGATGAACGTGGTGGGGGTGGCATAAGGGAGCTGCAGACGGTCGCCGCATCTCACCGATCACAGCAGATATACACAAAAAGCACTAGTCCTTCACGCACGGCCGGAAGTACACATGATACATCTAAGCTTCACAGATACAAGGCGGATACATTTGGCTCACTCACTTCCATCATCATTTTCGCCGCCGCCCTCCCCCGTCCCGTTGCCTCCCTTTGGCGAGAGCATGTCGGTCGTCCAGTCCATGTCGTATATATCCTCCACATCGTGCTTGTCGCCATGCTCCCGCTCCTCCTCATGAGCCAGGTCTACCTGACACATGGACACAGCGCACCATGACGATGCTGCATGCTGGCCATGCGCGTATGGGTATGTGTGGCTCGTTGCTCACATGGTGCGGTTCGGGTGAGATTGCCGCGCTGCTCTCCGGCATCGCGCCGTTCCTCTCGTCACCAGTGTCGACATCAGCTGGCGGCCGGGTGGAGGTTGTCTGTTGCTCGGCTTGCTCCTTGAAGAGCTTCGCTCGCATACCTGAAGAAACAAACGGCACACATCTGTGTTTGCGCCGATACGGATGTGTGTGTATGTGTATGTGTCTGTGTGTGTCTTACGAAGCTCCTCCAGCTGCGCCGTCCTCTTTTCTGCGTCTTTTCGTGCCCTCACGCGGCGAAGCAGCTCGGCCTTGACCTCCTGCGCCTTCTCCTGCCCCCTTGTGACGAGGCTGCGGAGGGCCGCCACGCGCTCACCATCATCATCAGGGTCAGTGGATGGCTCGAACATCAGATCGACGAAGAAGTCGGCTGGGAAGCGGACGTCGCCTGCCGCACCGTCGAGCTCGGAGAGACCCAGCTTGAGACACAGAGTGTCATCTGTAGACAGAAAGGGACACAGACGCGCGCAGTGAAGACTGTCATGTGCGGGGTGTTTTTCGTCACTCTGGACTGCACGGCTCACTTGGAACGAATGCTGTGTGAAAGGCCGCTCGAAAGGCCGAGCACTTGGTCCCATCGTCTGCCTGGTGCCTCACGCGGAGCAACACATCACCTGCCATCACACCAGCAACACAACAGCACACCCATCCCTGCAGAGGCACCAATCCCCTTCTTCGTATTACCCGTCACTTTGAGGCTGCATTCGAACCTGACTGTCCCATCCTCGACCGCATAGCCAGGCAGCGCCGCCTCACGATGGTCGCTCAGGGCCGCCATCGCCTCACTGGCAATCTGCTGCCCGTCGGCCGTGTGCTCGTCAGGCTGCCCGTTCGATGGCTGTGGTTGTGCGTCGGCTGGTGGTGGAGCTGCTGCTGTTGGTGCTTCAGGCAGGGAAGAGTAGATGAGCTCCCCTGCCTGCCACACCTGTGAAACAGAGGGAAGACACACAAAAAGGGCGGTCGGGTCGGTGTTGCTTCTTGGTGGTTGTTGCTGGCACTGCACTGCCTACCTCGTAGAATGGCCGGAAGGCGACTGCCGCCGCCGGGACGAGGGAGTCATGGACGACGATGGGCGGGGACAGCACGGGGATCCCGTTGATCAGTATGCGCCGCAGCATCAATGACGCGTGCTCAGGCTGAACAAGTGGACAAGAGGCGGCAAATCGATGTGTTCGCGGACTCTGTTCGCCCCTTCCTTGCTCTCACCATTTCGCCGCGTTGCAACCTCGCAAAGTAGTGCAGATACCTCCACTGTGACGGCAGCACCACACGCGGCGATGGCGTGCTGGTCAGGCCCAGGACCTCACACACCTTCTGGAGCGCTACGTGAGGGTTCTTGCACAGACCTATCCACGACTGAACAAGACGACGGGCGAGGCAACAAGATGCCCACACCGACCGAGGCTTAGTGAGTGAGAGCTGACTGATTCCCTTCGTCTGACCAGGAAGGATGCGATGAAGACGGCAGTTCGGCTGAAGCCGTGGTAGCAGTGGACCACAATCACATTTTGAGCGTCAGACAGCAACCTGCGAACCAAACACAATACAGCGACACACATGGAAACCATCCCGAGAGCATGAAGTGAATGTCTGATTCTTGGTGCCGACCACTGGCTGGACGACACACACAGTTTGAGCAGCAGATCCAGAGGGGGCGACGGCATGCCCCTGAACTGCACGTCCACGATCTGCCCGTTGAATCTCGAGGCATCGTAGGTCCTCTCCGACATGTTGAGCACCAGGTAATTGCTGCCATGGTTGGCGTTCAACACCTCCGCGAGATCTGGGAGAAGCTCATGCGACGGGAAGGGGATGGCGATGATGTTCCGATGAATGTAGACGGGCGCGGTGGGACCCAGGTACGCATCGCCATCTACACCGAGGCCTGTGATGGAGTCGGCAACGGTCTCGGCGAAGTCCTTGAGTCTGTCAGCCAAACGGCCCAGGACATGCATCGTCGCGGATCTCTGCGGATCTTCAACAGAGGCTGGTGGAGCTTGTTCTCCTCATGCTATCCACGCCTTCGCGGTGGCTCAACAGCGTGGAAAGACTGATCGACTTGCGAGCTCAAACTGGAGCAGGGGGGGAAACAGGGAACCGTTGAATGGAAGCAAGCCGATGATTGAGCCCGATGAATGAAACAGTCCTGTTGACGTGATGGCAAACTCAAGCAAGAAGCAGCGCAGAAGCGAAGAGGTCAGGGAGGCGGGCAGCGCAGCGGGCAAACATGCGCCAAGCCATGATTGTTGCCACGCTGCTGTGTGTGTGTTTCGTTCATCAGGCTGCGCTTGTGAGCCACAGTGGTGGAGATGACTCATCCATTACACAGCCTGATGAGAGGCACGCCCAGGTACACAATACATGCAGCAGACACAAGTGCATTCAACCGCTTTCGGCCATCTTTCGTTCATTGGTTGGCGGTGCCTGCTTTGCTTGTCTTCAGTCTCTGCAGTCACTGCATCTGCTTCCCGATGACGTCCGCCGCACCGTCCTCAGCGAATTGCTTGGCACCCAGTGCATCATCGGCACCCTCTCACTCGTCCGCAAGGCCTTCCACACCATCGCCACAGACCCACAGATGCATCGCACCATCTACCTGAGGAACACGTACCGCAACTCCCGCAGACACAAGCCCATCCCCGTTACCGACCGTCAGACAGCTGCATGGTCCCCCCGCCTCACTCGCACGAAGCGCATCGTCATGATGTGTCCGGTGGAGGGTGGCCTTGTGCGTCTGATCGAGGCCACACGCAAGACGCTGACGTTCCTGAAGGTGGACGACCGCGAGTGGAGCGAACCCGTGGTGCATCAGTCGTCGGTGGAGCTCGAGTTCCCGGTGCTGGCCCAAGTCGCTGTCGCTGGTCATTGGGTGCAAGTGGCTGAAATGCGAATGTGGCGGCTCAGGTATCGGCCTCACAGCTAGGGGCCTTCCAACGATACTGTATCTCTTTGTGTGTGTATGTTTCCTCTCTTCTGCAGCTCGCTTGAGTCACTGTGCGTTTCATCATCCTACAGCTGCTGCCACCCCTGGCACCACTTCAGTCGAGCGCTACACACACTCGAGCTGGACCATGCTGATGGCCTGCACTGGGGCTCCGGCATGCCCGCTGGAGTCGATCTCAGCAGCTTGAAGCGCCTCACGGTCACCGACATGGGCCCATGGGATGCACAGCGGCTCAGCGAGTGCGGCCTGAAGCTCGATGCGTTTGACATGACGAGCGACATGTTCGTCAATTCTGCGGCCTCCATAAAGGTGAGGAGCGCACGCTCGTGAAGGCCTGGCCACCTTTCATGTGTTGTTGTGGGCATTCAGGCCATCAACGCGTTTCGCATACGGTGTCTGGCGGCCGGTGCCGAGGAGGTGTGGCGCTACGAGATACTCTACTTCAACTTCTCCGCGCTCTTCCACATGACGGACGCCGACCTGCTCGAGTGCGCCCAGACCATTCAGAAGTTTGCATCGATGGCTACCTCTGCCTCACTGCCTGTAGCATTCTCCAACGCCCACAACTTCTCGCCTCAACTCTATTCTGTCGTGTCCAAACTCAATTTTCCCCGAGTCTCTTCGCTGAGCATCTACCGGGAGGTCCGGCATAATCTCTTTCCTGTGCCGGCTGCCTTTCTGTCGCGTATCGGTCATATGTTTCCTCACGTCACAGAGGCAGACCTTTTCTCATTCGATGGGGAAGGGCTGGCCAGCCAAGGGCTGGCCAGCCTAGCAGAGGGACACGTGCAGTCAGTGCTAGAGCAGCTGGGCAACCTCACGGTTGTCAGGTGTGGTGTCGACATTGAGGAGGGGGTGGGGGAGTGGTCGCTGTGGGTGGATGAGGCAGGAGAGGAAGAGGCAGACAAGCCGTTCCACGAGCGCATGTCTCGCGCTACCCATTCTGTCGAGGTGTGTGCCTGTGACGACGAGGAGGGGATGGAGTGGTCCAATGAGTCAGTCGTCAGGATGCACATGCATGCCATCGCCATTCTGCCATGTCTGCATAGCATTGTGCTTGAGGTGGATCTGTGCCCGCAAAGTTGCTGTGAGTACGGCAGACAGGAAGACAGCCAACTCGACTACAGCCAGTTCCTGAGTGTGCTTGAGCAAGCCCAGCTGGGCGGCGGCCGCTTTCATGCGCTGCTGCGGGCGGCCGGTTTTGACCTCGTGGAGCTGACCCCATTGGCCCATCTGTGTTGCGTGGAGGTGCGCCGCATCGGTTTTGTCGGTGACCCGATGCAGCGCAAGATCACTGACTACTTCTCTGCTGTGCAGTGAGAGAGAGGGGCAAGGGGATGGGTGTGGGTGTCATGTTGATATCGCAATGTTGCAAGTGAGTGAGACACCAACCGTGTGTGTGTCGGTGTGGACCAGTGGACACATCTTCCATGAATGAATGAATGAATGCATGAGTGTCTTCCTCCATGAAAGGATGCAGTTACATGGCGCTCCGAGACTCGATGCCCATCTGACACATCAGTCATGACGTCATACATTCGTGAGACATGCACGTGAGGTAAGTGAGGTGGAAAAGTCGTTCGTCACTGACCCGCCAACGTGCCAGACGTGTATTGGCTTCACGTCTGACGTGTTGCGTCACCAGCGGCCGACGCCAGTCCCACCCGCCCACACACGGTGTCCCTCTCACAGTCAGTCACTGGCTGTAGCTAGATAATAATGGCCCTTAACTAGCAGTGCATAGCATATGGCCACGACAGTTTCCCTCCCGGCCCGTATCGCCAGGTGCTCTGCAGCACTTTGAGAAACGGCCGAGAAGGTGAATTCACGTTATCTTGCCCGAAAAAAGGCCCCTCCGAGGCGACAAAGACGTATCGCTCTACTCTACTACCGCGTCTGGCCTCTCACTGCATCCGTCAAGCCACAACACATGCACCAAAAAACTCTCACGGCCACTCATTATTCATTTCTTCTCCTCGAGCAGTGCATCGTGCACCCAATTGAGATGCGCGCGTAGCTGCATGGCGGCGGGATAGGGCATGTCCCGCGGCACACCCACGCGGTCGCGCACATACGCCACACACTTGGCCAGGTCCGCCCGGCCACTGCCACTCGCACCCACTAGTGCCTCTCGCATCGCCTTGTCGGCCTGGTCATCCACGCCACTGAGCAGCGCATGTACCACGAATCGGAGGGCGATGTCCATGTCGGCCTCGTAGTTGAGATTCGGCTGCGCATAGGGATCAGCCAGAGGGGCCGCGAAGCGCTTGGCGCCAGGCAATCCCGCACCTCTGCACACACACACACACACACACACACAGAGAGAGAGAGAGCGAGAGAGAGAAGTGCCCATCTGCCCTGTCTGTCTGGTTTGTCACACATTGCGTGCGCCTCAGGTACCTGAGTGCGAATCGCGCCACAGCGGGCAGATTGTTGACGAGCTTGAAGCATGCCTGGTGCCGGGCGCCCTCGTCGCCCGGATTGGTGTCGGCCGTGGTGGGCTCTGGGTCAGTGGGCAGCAGCGGGGCCAGAGGCAGCCGCCAGGAGGCCTCCTTGCCGTCGATGAGGGCACGGTACTTCTCGCCGGCCTTGTCACTGAATGCGGGGCCGTACTGCGGCGGGATGTCCATGACGTGGGTGTAGTAATCGCTCTTGGACGCCTGGTAGCTCGGCCGCTGCACACGCACGTCACACACACACACACACTTCGTCTCGGTCTGTGTCGTGTGCCATCATCCATCCATCTGCATGTCCATACCTTGTCAAATGCGTCAAACCATCTGTCGATGTTGCTCCAGCGACCACTCCCGCGGATCTGCAGACCCTGCAAACACACACACGCATACACAGAAAAAAGGTGGACTGTCGATGTGTCCACACAGACAAATTCTCTGGCCGACCTTCCAGTAGAGCGTCGAGGCGCACATTCTTTCGACATGGCTCACATACTGCAGGTCCACAATCGACGGCACCTCCCCCTCCAGAAACCAAGGCCCCTCCGTCTTGCCCAGCTCACCGTCCACCTTATCCAGACACGACTCGAACGACCGCCGGGCCATACCGAGGGGGTCTGGTCGAAAGACGAAGGAGCACCACTTTCCAAACAGCTCTCGCTCGAGCGCCAGCAGGTCGTTGGCGCGGTCCATGGCTGGCGAGCCCTGGGGCGGGAGGGTGGCGGGGTGGTCGGGCGGCTGGAAGGTCTCCTCTAGCAAGGCCATGATGCGCAGGCTCTCTGTATGTGTGATAGACGGACCAACGACACACAGCACAGAGATGCTACTTGTTGATGTCACATCATCATGTGTGTGTCCATCTCACTGACCAAAGATCAGTTGGCCATCGAGCTCGATGACGGGCAGCAGGCCGTTGGGGTTGGCTCTGCACATCACCACACACCACACACAAACACATGAGGCACCCAATCTCGTGGGTGCTTGACACTTGCATATACCTCAGGAACCACTCAGGTTTGTCCCCATAGCTTCTCATGTTAATCTTCTCAATGCGGTAGGGGATGCGCTTCTCCTCGAGCAGCATCCACAGCTTCTGGCAGTAGGGGCACCAGGCTGCAGAGTCCCGATACAAGACCACCCGCACATCCTCCTCCCTCTTGCCAAACAGCCGAATCTTGCAGTCCGTGTGCGGCGGCCCAGCGCCCTTCTCCCTCTCAGCAAGCTCCGCCGACAGCCGCTGCCCAGTGGCCGTCTTGAGCACCGATTGCTTCAGCGCCTCGACTGTCGGCGGCAGAGTCGCGCCGTCAGTCTTGAAGACAGGCCCATGACTCTGCATCTCTGGCGAGGCTATCTCGCTCGTGCGTGTGGCAAACGCTCTTGTGCTGGGAGGATGCGCCGATGAGTGGGCCACAGAAAACGAGCGATAGCCGCGGTGCTCAGCCTGGTGCTGATGATGATCTGCTGGTCCGACCCGTTGTTGGCTTATGGATGTGCAGGAGCTGTGCAGCAGGAGGCTTGGCAGCACAAACGAGGCTCTACGGTAGCCTGAAGATGACGAGGAAGCGAACGAGGCCGTTTTTCGAACAGATCCCTGAGCAAGATCGACACTGAGGCAGATCAGAGGGACGAGGGACAGCCGGACAGGCCTCAGATGAGAGATCATCCTTCCCCACAAGCTTAGCTCGCAACCTCGCCAGAAATTCTGGCCGCCAATGGTGTGACGTTGGTGTCCAAGAGATGGCGGCCAGTGGCGAGTCGGATGTGGTCAAGATCGAGTTCCCCTTCACGCCGTATCCGACACAGATCAAGTTCATGGTCAAGGCGTACCAGCTGTTGCAGGAGGGCGGGTTCGGCGTGTTCCAGAGCCCCACAGGCACGGGGAAGACCCTCATGATAGTCTGCACGGCGCTGCAGTGGTGATACAGAGGAAAATGGCTGGATGGATGGATGGATGGATGGATGGATGGTGGTGTGTTCCGGTTTCCGTGTGGTGCAGGCTGCGTGACAACGAGATGTCGGTGCTGAAGCAGCAGTTGGTCAGGGAACCCAGCACCGCAGCCGAAGCCAACGCCGCTCAACCAGCCAAAAGTGGGTGGGGAAAGGACAGAGGGCACACACTGCCCGTCAATCTCTGATGTCTGTTCTCCATGGGTCACCGTGGACGATGGATGCAATGCAGGTGCCCCGCTGCCACTGTGGCTGACGCAGAGCAAGGCGACTCGAGAGCAGGAGGAGCTGCAGGCGTGGGTCAATGAGAGGCTGGAGCGGCTGCAGCAGCGCAAGACCCGTGCAGCCATCATCAAGACGCAGAGCAAGCAGACCATGTTCCCTGTCGGACTGCCTGGCCCGGCTGCCAAGAAACAGAAGGTCACACAGGAGGTAGGTACATGTAGGTGGGATGAGGTGAGGTGGATGAGCTGACAAGTTCTCATTGTGGGACATGCTTGCAGCCGGCTGCTGCTGCTGCTGCTGGCGGTGGTGGGAGTGCGTCTGCGTCTGTGTCCGCGAGGCCTGCTGCCATTGATCTGGAGTTCCTGCTCAACTCGAGTGGGTTGGGGCGGCGGTGGCATTCTCCCTGTGCATGCTTCTGTGTGTGAGTGTCAGTATGTAGCACATCTGGTGAGGAGGAGCACCTCAGGGCTGAGACCTCCCGGTTCACCAAACCGCAGGTAGGCAAGACACAAACAGACAGACAGGCACACAGACATACACACACACCCCCCTTCTCCCCTCACCCTCCCTCCCTCCCCGTCTGTCTGTCTGTCTGTCTGTGTGTGGTCAGATCCTCATCTGTAGCCGCACCCACGAGCAGCTCAAGCAGTACAAAGAGGAGGTCGGTGGATGTGGGAGGTGGGAGGGAGGGAGGGATGGTGCATGGTTCCGCTCAATATGAACAGATTCTGCGCACATCCCACGCTGCCAAGGTCGTTGTTGTGCCGCTCGCGTCCCGCCAGCAGCTCTGCATCAACCAGGCAAGGCCCGGACAACCACACATGGCAGAAGATGAGACGAAAGTGTGACATACATCTGTGTGATCTGTGTGTGAGTGTTTGTGCGTCAGGAGGTGCGCAGCGCCGCCCACAGTGCAAGCCACCTGACAGACCTGTGTCGGACAAAAGTAGATGAAGGTACATTGCACAGCACAGGCAGAAACTGCCACAATGCATTGACCACGTGGCCCGAATGACTGCAATGCGCCCAGGCAAGTGTCAGTACAAGAAGAGCTCCTCCCGCACCGCTGACCTCGCGCTCGTACACACAACAAAGCACACACACGGAGACACAGACGAAAAACGATGCGTGCGTGTTGATGTGTGTGTAGAGTGAGGTGTTAGACATAGAAGATCTGAAGCGTTGGGGTTCGAAAGAGTCCGTCTGCTCCTGCCCATACTTCGGCACACGAGAAGCCGCACCCGACGCAGATGTACGTCCTATCTGTGGCCGCATACCCTCACCAGTGGTGCAATCAGTGTATGTGTGTGTGCATGTTGACGCAGGTTTTGCTGCTGCCGTATAACTGCATCCTATCAAGAGACACGCGAGAAGCGCTAGGTGTGTTCAGGGGAGGGAGAGAATGACCGTTCCACAGCAAACACAACAGAGAGTGTGGGTGTGGGTATGGGTGTGGGTGTGGGTGTGGGTGTGGGTGTGGGTGCAGGCATCCGTATCAAGGGCAGTGTGATAGTTTTCGACGAGGCGCACAACCTGATCGAGGCCATCAACTCTTCACACAGCTGCACAATCACGCAATCGCAACTCGCAGGATGCCGACAAGACCTGTACGCAGACCATCCCCTCTCCACCCCTCCACACACACACACAACCCATTTCCTCTGTGTGTGTGCGTGTGTGTGTGCGTCTGTCAGGGAGGCGTATTTGGTTCAGTACGAGAAGTGGCTCAAGGGCAACAACAGCGCCAACCTCAAGATATTCATCAAGATGTGCGACCACCTCCACACCCTCATTCAGACAGAGACCGACAACCACACAGAGGGACGCTCGCACACCATCGCAAGGTTCCTGCAAGGTGGGTGTGGACAGAGGGAGGGAGGGAGTGATGGAGGGAGAAAGAAAGAAACAACCCAATGCTATCCATTGATACCTACAGATGCGCAGCTGGAGCATTTCCCACTGAACGACCTGCGAGACTGGATCCGCGACCCCCTGTTCCTCCGAAAGGCACACACCTACACACAACACAACCAGCACCCATTCAAACTGCACACGCGAATGCCTTTCTTGTGTTGGTGGATGAATGCGTGCAGCTGCGGGGGTTCAGTGAGTGCCGTCGTCGCAAGCTGGCCCGCCAGGCGGGCGGCCCCAACGCGCAGTACGCGTCATCATCTCTACACACGCTGGTGGAGTTCCTCTCAGGCCTCCTGGCCGGCACATCTGACGGTAATCCACTCAAACACAGGCAGAGAGAAGGAAAGAAGACGGTTCTTATCCGTGTGTTGGGTGTGTGTTGCAGAGCGTATTCTGGTGTGGCCTGGTGGTAGTGGTAGTGGTGTCGAGGGCCGGCTGGAGATCATGAATCTCAACGCGGAGGAGCGGTTCCACGACATCGTCAAGGACGCGAGAGCGGTGCTGCTGGCGGGCGGCACCATGGAGCCCAGACGAGGTAAAAGTCGACAGACACACAGCCACCTGCACCCATGGTCTGTGCGTGCGGTCAGAGTTTGCCCCCCTGTCATCTTCGCTGCCGGCGGAGAAGATCGTCCACTTCAGCGGCACACACGTCGTACCGCCATCGCAGGTCTTCGTCTCCACCGTGACCAACGGTACACAACACCCCACACCATCCACACACGCCCGATGCATCCACCGTATTCTACTGCAGGTCCCGACGGCCATCCGTGGAAGTTCGACTACGCCAGCCGCTCCCAAGACGCCACCCTCCGCAACCTCACCGCATTCATCGCCAGCCTCTGCGCCGCCGTCCCCGCCGGCCTGGTCGTCTTTGTGCCGTCATTCGACTTCCTCGCACATCTGGACACGTACATCAAGAGCCACCCCGCCGTGAGCAGCGAGATCGCCAAACACAAGCGGGTGTTTGTGGAGCAGAGGGCGGGTGCAAGGGGTGGGGCTGGTGGTGGCAAGGCGGGCAGCGATGGGGATGAGCTGCCGCTGTTTCGGGACTTCAGGTGACGTTGAAGGGGACGGAGGGAGGAGACATGTGAGGGTGGAGGGAGTGTGTGTGGTGATGGATGGATGGATGATGCAGGCAGTACGTGTTGGGGACCGACGGTCGTGCTCGCAGAGGGGCGCTGCTGTTCAGTGTAGTCGGCGGCAAGCTCAGCGAGGTCACCCCCACCCAGCAACCACACCCATCTGTGTTTGCCCGCTGGCTGGCTGTGTGCAGGGCATGAACTTCAAGGACGACCTGGCCAGAGGTGTCTGTGTCGTCGGATGCCCATACCCCAGAAAGGCATGACGGATCACATACACACACACACACATACATTTCTGCGTCTCTCCATTCCGCCTTCCTTCAGGATCTGAAGATCCGGCAGAAGATGAACTTCCTCGACACGGCTGCGTCGCGGGCCAGGCGGGAGGGGGAGGGCGACGCACAGCAGCGGATCACAGGTACAGACTGGAGGTGGGTGGACGATTGCATGCGTGGTGTACCATCCATCCATCCGTTCATATCCTGCAGGGCGGGAGTACTATCAGTGTCTCTGCATGAAGGCCGTCAACCAGGCACGCAGCCAGGGAGGGAGGGAGGGAGGGAAGACGGGCGCGAACCCAGCCACCGTCACCCTCCCCTTGTCTGTGTCGTGAATGCATCAGTGTGTCGGCCGTGCCATCCGATCGCGCAGCGACTACGGCGCCATCCTACTCATCGACTCACGGTCGCAACACACACACTCGCCGGCAAAGAGAGCCATACGTGCATTGTCTGCCCTCTGTGTGTGGTCCGTCCATGCAGCTATGGTGTGGGTGCCACTCAGCAGCAGCTGCCCGAGTGGATCCAGAAGAGCCTGACGCTCACCATCGGACAAGACACCACACAGGCAAGGATGGGACACGTACCAATCACAGAGACACGCGCATATTGCATTGTGTCTCTCCCTGTGTTTGGTGTGGCGGCCATGCCGTGCGGTGCAGGCGACCATGGCGACGGCCCTACCTTCACCGCTTGAGGCGTTCTTCCGGCGCATGCAGTCGACGTCCCGCAGCAATTGACCAAGCCGTGTGCATCTTCTGCGTGGGTGCGTGTGTGTTTGTGTGTGTGCACGTGTGTCTGGATGGCTTGCCGTTCCTTCATGACCTGAATGCGATTGTCTCTTTCCAATTTTTGAAGCATGTGTCTGTTGACGTCAATGCAATTGAAAGCCTTCACGGCAATCAATCGGTCTTTCGAACGAGGAACATTCAGCACAACGCACGAACGGAATATAAAATGTAGGCAGCCATGCTGCCCGAACCACCCCGCCCTGTCTCCTTTCACGCGTCAACCCCGCGGCAGAAAAGGCCTCGTTTCCTAGTCACGCCCTAGGAGGATAGACACAACACCAATCCACACAGATCACTGCACACCGGGGGGGAGGGGGGGGACATAATAGGCAGGCACTCCAATCAAGCTATGGAATCGCTCACCCACCATCCGTACGTATACGCACGCAGCCAATCACCATAGACATTGCCGGTAAAGGGCGGGACGCTTGGGAAGGGGCCGGGAACGGGAGTCTTCTTGGGCATATGAGCTCATGCCAGGTGCACCGTGCCGCTGCCGCTGCCGCTCTCGGTCGCTCCTTAGCTGCCTCAGCGCATGGTTGACGGACTCCTTCTTCGTCGGTAGATGCTGCTCAGGTCTTGGGCAGCCCCAGTCCCAGGGGCGTTGTTGAACTAACTGCCCGCCTTGTCGTCGCAGCGTCCTGCAGAGCTGCTTCTCTTCCCCGAGCTTGACCGTGGCAGCGGTCGGCGCCACATGTGCCGCCGTGACCAGGATATCCGGCCCGGTAAGAAGGCCGAAAGTCGCGGTCCTTGGACCAGGCATACATCTGGTCCCCTGTGGCTCTGCTCTCGGCATTGATGCCGCGCCGATAGCCCCGCACCAGCCCTTCCAGCATGGCGTCCTGCACAACAAATAGGCACATACACACATGGTCAGCCGGTCAGCCAGCCAGTCAGCCACCACCCCGACACAGACCACACTCAAAACACACACATGATTGCTCACCTCTAGCGCTTTCACATATTGCTCCTCCTTTCCTTGTTGACTGGTGCACGGTGTGAGAGTGCAGTCAGCCTGAAAGCCAGTAGCCGAAAGAAAGACACCGTCGTTTCCACTCATTTCGGCAAGCTTACTCTTTTCGATGTTTGCTTCACTGAGCGGCGCCGCCGCCTCCATCACACCATAGGCACTCTGCAGTGAAGCCACCGACACCAACACGCCATAAAGGAAGTGAGAAATGTATAACATCATCCATTGGATTAGTGCAGTGCGGACCACTGTGCCGTCTCCCATGCGGTCGAGTGGGTATGTGTCCTCTTCGTAGGCCTTTCCCCAGGGCATATCGACCTGAACGGCCGTGAATCGCCGCAGACCATCCGCAGCCTCTCAGTCACACCTGCATTCAGAGCGACAGCAACTTAGTGTGTGCATCCTGATCAAGAGGAGCCGCTGCTCCTCCCGCTTACCGTGGACGCGGGCATTGTGGATTGTGTTGTCTGGCGTCCCACGCCGCTCAAGGCGTCGAGCACTGCGGTCGCTGGATGGGAGGGAGGGAGGGAACTACCTGTGTGGCCAAGCACTCGGAGTGCTGCGTTGTGTTGGCTGTGTCGGTACCAGTGAGGATACTGTTTTCCTCGAGATGGAATAGCAGCGAACGATTTGGGAAGCCGCGTACCATGTATTGAATTGCTCTGTGAACAGTGATGCTTGCCTGTGAACCCTCTGCGTCTTGTTCTCCCACCTTCACCGTCTTCTCGCCGTCGCTGACGACCACAAAAGCGTGCTCGCCGGTCGTCACCAGCAGTGGCTGGCTGACTTGCAGTGGCTGGCTGACTTGCACCAAGACAGGCCTCGGGGCAGACGTGCCTTGGCCCATGTTTGAACTTGAAACTTTCAAAAGGGTTCGGGAAACAACTCTCCGCATGGCTGCCAGGGTAGCATGGCTGGCATTCGGGCGCCGAGGGAAGATGATGGGAAGTCAACGCGCTGAAGGGATGAATGTATGAACCAACGAGTGGACCGACGGACGGACGGACGGACGACAGATAATGATGCAAACGCATCTGTCTCGTCTCGATTTGGGGGCGCCGCGGGGGCCGATTTCTTTCGGTCCGACAAAGGCATCGCCCACCAGGAATGTTCGCCCTCCATCACACCATAGGCACTCTGCAGTGAAGCCATCGAACGCCACAGCCGCCTCTTCAGACGGGGCCGTGAACACAGAAACTGAAAGGAAGGGGAAATGCAAGACATAAGAAGCCATGTGCTCCATCCTAACCCGTGAGGATGCTATCTTCTTCCAGGTTGAAAACAAGGGGCTGGTGTGGGAAGCTCCAAATCTGCGGGGCAAAGAGAGGTGCTGTGTGCTTTCCCCGCTGCGCCTTTCCGCTGTCCGTAGCATACCTTCGCGGTTTTCTTCCCATCCGAAAGCATGACAAACGCCTTGCTGCCGTCCTGGCTGTTGCTGACGAGGACGGGCTGGTCAGTCTTGACCAAGACAGGCCTCGAGCCAGACGCTCCTTGGCCCATTCTCAAAGGGGTCGGACACGTGGTCGTACGGAAAGAAATCGGCCCCCGCGGACGGAAAGAAATCGGCAGCTCAAAATGAGAGGGTTGAACGATGTCCGTTGTGAAGAAAACATCCTTCCTCTAGCTGTACGTCAACAACCGTCAATCAGCAGTACGTGTCCATGGTGGTTGTGATGCTTGAAGGCTCTCTCGGTAACCGAAGGAAGGCTGCCCCCAAACGCACGTCCGTCGTTCATCCGCTCGTTGGTTCATACGTCCATCCCTTCGACGTGGGAGGCGGGCTTGTCGTTGGTGCTGCTGGAGGAGGCAGAGGGCGTCCCGAGTCCTCCAGGCTGGCCGAGAGGCGGGAGATGCATGGAGCGGCCGGCTGTGTCGGTGCTGGGACTTCAGGCACAGGCGTATGGACCAGAGAGGGAATCATGCCGGTCTCCACACAGTCGCCACTCATATGGCACGCGGCAAACATGAGCCCGAACAGGAGTCGACGGAACAGCCCTTGACCTTTTGGCAGGACAGCCCGAGGGAGGCGGGCGAGTGCGAAGGAAAGGGACCAGAAAAACTGCATCATCAACCTGCCGATAGCAAGATGTGCCACTCGCCGGCACCACCGCCCCAGCCAGGTCCGTGAGATCCACTCGCCCGCCGCCACCCAGCCGCGGTAGAAGGTGCATCAGCCGGAGGAATGTTCAGATCAATGTAGGTCTTGAGCTTGACATCACTTGAGCTGTTCAATTCCCAGGAGCTCGAGAGAGCTCGATGTGCTTGCTGGATTCGATTTGCGTAATCAGAAGCCATCGGGCGGGGTACAGGCGCTTCACTCGACCTTGTACTGCCAGCTCCATCTGCACGCGGCTGCTTCGTCGATTTCGGGGGTCGCCGGTCTCGCTGGGAAAAAAGCATGTCTCGTCGAAATTCTCCAGAAATTCTCGACCCTGCATGTGGGGGCCTGGGGGCCTTAAGTTTTTTCCTTCCCTCCCGCGGCAAGTTATGGGCCAGGGCACGTCTTCCCCGAGGCCTGTCGTGGTGCAGGTCAGCCAGCCACTGCTGGTGACGACCGGCGAGAGGGCGTTCGTGGTCGTCGACGACGGCGAGAAGACGGTCAAGGTGGGAGAACAAGACGCAGAGGGTTCACAGGCAAGCATCACTGTTGCATTCAGATCCGCGCCTTCCCAACCCGTTCGGTGCTATTTCATCTGAAGGAAAACAGCATCCTCACTGGTACCGACACAGCAAACACAACGCAGCACCACGAGTGCTCTGTCTTGTGCCACAGTGTCTGTGTGGACTGCCCCGTCTGAAGAGGCGGCTGCGGCGTTCGATGAGTGCACGCTCTTTTCGGGTGAAAGACGACCATGCTCCTTCAGGCATACGTCCATCGATTCTGTGTGTTTCCCGTAGAGGTGCGTATCCCCATGCGGGAGCTCTCCGACTCTTTTCATGCGGGGCTAATCAACTTGTGGTAAGTGTTCCCGCATGAAGATCGTGCCTTCACATGAGATATCCCTCGTTTCACCTTCTTTCGCTTCATACAGGCTCGGCTTGCCGGAGAAAAGCGAAGATGTAGCCCTCATTCGAACCGCACCCTGCACTCAGACATTTTTCTTTCCTGCCATGCAGGGATCCACATCTTTCGAGCGCTCACTTGCGGCGGCCAACGACATTTATGCGGCGAAAATTTGTCTGAGCCTCATGGATGCCGACATTCAGCAGGGGTCGAAACGAGTAAGCTTGTCGAAACGAGTGGAAACGCGTGTGCCCTCCCCTTGGTTGCTGTAGGCTGGGTGCACGCTGATCTCGTGTTGCAGTCGAGAGGGCAACGAAAGCCTCTATACGAAATCTCTCGAGGTCCATAGAGGCCGTACCCATATCGTTGTTCATTCGTATGTCTCCTGCACAGAGGGCGAATCGACAGCAGCAGAGGATGCTCGAAGTGTTCCACAAGCAGATTGCCTTACTGCTAGAGAGGGACAAGGCCCTCAAGAACTTGACGAGAGGCCTGTCAACCATGGGCAGGTCTCCCCGGTCACCAAGGCGCTCCACTGGTATGGGATGCAAGAGTGAGGACCACAAGACATTGGGTACGCCCATAGCAAGTGTGGAAACCACGACTGAAAGAGATTCTGCAATCGCTCATGTCTCAGATTCTGCAGCAGAGGGCGACCGAGACTCTTCGGTGTGCAGATGTCTTTGTGCCTTTATTGTCATGCTTAGAGCAATGTCACTTCTTTCAGACGAGCCAGGCTATCGAAGAAGCGAGAAAGGCGCGACAGCAGGACCACAGCACCATTCTACAGTCAAAGAAGGCGGTGCCAAGTATGCGGATACAGAAAGAGAGAGCAGAGAGGCAGAGAAGAAAGTGAAAGCTCTCTCTCTGTTCCACTTCTTTGCCAGGCACTGGCGGGCTCTCGCAGGAGCCCTTCAAGCCACGTCAATGTCCTGGTGAGACGGGCGCCGCTGTCAGTTCCCAGGGATCATCGCCGGCACATCAGTATCGGCCTGTCATTGGTGAGACATCATCTGGGACGGCAGCAAGTTCCCAAGGCGCCCAGCCATCTGTACCACGATTGAGGCTCGACGAAGTAAGAAACTTCAGAGAAGCGAATGGCACAGATGAATTGATTCGTCACGGGCAACATCTTTAGTACTTTCTATATATCTGTTCAGATGAGTACGAAAGACATCCATCCCGATGCTGCCGAGTCGTAAGGGAGCGAATAAGGTTGTTTGCTGCAGACACATGTCTCATTCTTGTGGTATCGATGTATACAGCACGGGTGCATCACGTCGATGGGACGCCGACACGCAAGCAGCCGCTGGCTTGGGTATGTCCCGATGTCAACCGATCATCGATCCCGCCGGACCTGGCGGCCCGCACGGTGAGCAAATGTATGTCTCCATTGGTTGGCTGCTTGAGTGCATCAGCCCGTCCGCTTTCAGGGCCTGGCGACACATCCATCGCTGCTGCTGCTGAGGCTGCTTCGTCCACACATGCCGCTACGCAAAGAGGTGACACCATATCAGAGCCCTTTCTCTCTATACCTCTCTCTTTGTGGTGCACGTGTGTGGTAGTTTCAAGCAGGTCTTCGTCTCAACTGCAGCGCAGTCCCCTGGCGAACAGGAGGCGCCGTGAAGAGAGCAGGCAGCACTCAGCCATGACTGAGAGCGAAGACCCGCACGAGTGAACTCTTTCTCCGCTTTTGACGCTGGCACTTCCAAAGGCGAGTCCGCGTCTCAGTCAGAATCACATACATACAGCCACCTTGGGGTAGTGAGGAGAGGGATACCGACATTCGCGGTGGGCTCAAGCTAGGGATGTGTTAAGGGGTAGGCAAAGAGGGGCTAAGGCCGATGTGTATTGCTGCTGGGCAGGCACCAGAGGTCGCTGCATCTGCTGCTCGCTGACGTCAGCGGCGCACGTGTGCGTGTATGTGTGTGTGTGTTCGTTCTGTGTGTCTGTTGTCGTGACTGACATTTGTTTGAATCAAGTGCTAAGCACGATCGACCGTGTCTCGCTCGAAAAAGCGTCACTTCATCGGATGCCAGCACCCACACACATGGTACACACACAGACCGTCATGCAATAAGTCGGCCACGTGAACAAGTACCACACACGGCACATGGACGACCGACACACCACAAATCACATGTCCATGAACGAATGAATGCATAAAGACATACAGCCATGCACGTACGCCTCTAGCTACATCCCCCTCTTGGTCCGCGCTTCCATGGTCTCCCGCCGGCTAAATGGGCCAGGGCCGCCAGGCTGCCCAAAAGCCTCCTCCATATCAACCTGACACCCACACACACACAGCCACTCTGTCAACAGATGCGTTTTTCCGGCCCTCTCATGTATTCCGCACCTCATAGCCAGCGAAGCTGGTCGTTGAGAGTTTCCGAACAACGCTGGGCCTCCTGCCCTCAGATACCTCGCGAATGGGTGGGAATGCCACGGTTTCCTCGGCAACCGCCTGCTGGCTCGCGTGGCTTGCTGCCGACTTGCGGAAGAGCTCCACTGTCCTGCAAAACGCAGAAGGGTGGCTGGTTTTTTCATTCTTTCAATGTATGTGTGGGCGGAGGACTCATCATACCGGGCCACTTGGAAGACGTATCTGATGATAAGTAGGATCAGTGAGAGGTAGCCTTCCAGCTGCTCGAACAGGGCCATCTGCCACAATGAGCAGAATAGAGAAAGAGAGAAGCCCCCTCGGTTAGCGGCTGGCTCAGGCAGCCAGCCCACCCACCCACCCACCCACCACCCACCCATTGCAGAATGTCAAAGACGACGAATGCGACGCAGAGAACCGTGACAACTAGCTGAAAGATGTTCCACGAATACAACCAGAAGTCCTGAAATGAAAGCCACATGCATGTTGCCTTGACTGGCGTCATCCCTGCAGGCCTGGCGCTCACCCGTCTGAGTAGGTACATGTCGATGACGGTCTCAGCCGTGAGGAAGATCGTCAGAACGAGCTCTCCGATAAAGAACCACCAGTGCATCGCTGGCACGCCACCCTGCATGTGCACACACACACAAACAGATGCATAAACAGTCGGAAAACGGCCTCTCTCCATTGCAAATGTCTGAGCCCATGCACCCCCACAACCAAGACAGCCCACACTGACCTTGTAGAGGCAGTACGCCAGCAGGAAGAGACCCAGCGTGGCCATGGCGAGGCAGAACACCAGGTACGTCTGCGACAGCCGCATCTGCACCACCAGCTTCTTGGATATCTCCCGCTGCGATGGCGACGCGTCCGACCCATTCAGCCCTTCGCCGCCCCGTTCGCCCTCCTCTTCCTCCTCAGGGATGGGCACGGACCCATAGAAGATGGAGTAGTGGCTCTTGGTGGACGTCTGGCGGCTCAGGGGTCCTCCTCTGGCCGGTACTCTCGATGGCTGAGATGGCTGGGCCTCGTCCAGGTCAGGATACACTGCACCCCCTTCCCTCAAGCTGCTGGAGGGCCCTGCCATTGCTTATCCTTCTCTGGTACTCGGGGAAACTGAGAACAAACACGCGGAAGAGTTGCGCGCTGAGGGGGTCGCGATCACCGCAAAACTGCACTGGATGATGGCTATTTTGTTCGTTCTCCTTTTATGCAGCTGCTCTGCCTTGGGGAGCCGTACAACGGCACGGGGCTCTACTTTGAAAGACCGTATGCAACACAGAAGGACATTACGACTCAGAGGCGCTCTCAGACTGCGACGCATTCATGCGGGGAGGAATGTTTCGACGTGGCTGACGTGGTCGGAGGGGGACAATCGTCACGCTGCCGTGTCTACGGAAGCAAAACAAACAGGCGCGGCGACCGATGTGTACGAGCCCCGCCGGTGAGAAAAGGCACAACACACACAAACGGCGAGGAGACACTGCAGATGGCGTCTTTGTCTGTCTTTCGCAGGTGAGGGCCTCATGCACATTTGATGCACGCCGCAGTGTCTGCTCTTGCAATGGCCGAGACAGTCTACCGCTTCACCACGTTGACCTCCCTTGCTCAGAGCTCTGCATGCGCCGTCCCCCACGCCGCTTTCTCCTCTCTTTCCTCGGCCCTTCTCCACCAATCGACGGACTCTACGAGCCGCCACAACAGCGTTTCAACAAGGACCCAAATTACGAGTATTTCTACGACTCAAACATGACGCAGCAGCCTTGTGGAGCGACAGCTGAGCGAGAGGATGCAGACGAGGATCTGCAAGACGATGAGGAGGATGTCATGGAGAGGGAGTGGGCGACTGAGGCTGAGAGGAAGGGGGAGGACTGGAGACGGGAGGATCTGCCGCCGTTGCGCATCAGTGTTCGGGTGCCGAGGGGAGAAGGCGGCAGGAGGAAGGCAAAAGAGCACTCTGCCCTTGCCTCACAAGACGCGAAATAGGCCAGAGCATCCTGCGAGCGATGTGCTTCATGGGTGCGCGATTGATAAGACTTTGGGTCGATAGGAGGACACGTTTGCGTCTTTGGCTTTCGTGAATCGCTCTGTCGCCACCTCACCTCACGCTTGTGCCACAGCCAGGTGTCATTGCTGCAGGAGAAGCGTGAGTAGATCACGAGTGATGCACGGCAAGCACGACGCACCCAAGTCACCGCACGCACCAACATGCGAAACACACACACACATGTATGTGTTCTCGCCCTCCGCATGTCGTTTGTCGCTTATACATGTCGCATGCCTATCCGTCTGTGTGTCCAGCGGTTCGGCCATCAGGGGTGTGTCGGCTGTCCTGCTTGCACTTGAACGCCACAGCACAGGGGTCGTGTGCTGGGCACTCAGGTGCAAGTCGATCCAGACACGCACCCCCGACAAGCACAAACGAACAGGCATCAGTAAGGTATCAATATCACAGTCTGTCGCGGCTTCTGCTCCGCCTTCTGCCTCCCTCTGTGTCCCTGTCTCGCTCCCTCTCCCTCTCCCTCCGCCCCCCACTCCTCTCATAATGCCGATCACGATCGTCCCTGTCTGCACCACCACGGTCATCCCTCCCCCGCCTGTCCTCATTCCGCCTCCTGTCAGAGTCATCCCGCCCCCTCCACCTGTCCCTGTCTCGGTCCCTGTCGCGACCTCTGTCTCGATCATCATCGTCAAATCGGCCTCCCCTCTGCCCTGCAGCAGCTTGCGAGCCCCCTTGACTGTCGCCGAAGACAAACCCATGGCCAGGCCGGCCGCCGCGCTGGTACTGTGCTGCGGCATCGGACGGGTTGAGGGGCTTGGCGTCGTCGTCCTGCCGGTGCCTGCCCCTCCTGCCGCCTGATGACGCCAACGCGTTGGCCTCCTGTGCGTCTTCTCGTGAGCCCTTGGCGCCCTGCCGGCGGAACTGGCGCCACTGCTTGGATACCGACTGGCAGAAATCGACGTGGATGCTGACGCACACAGAGAGAAGGCAGAGATGACATACATGGAAGACCTGTATGGTGTGGGTGAGTTGTGTGTGTGCGGTATACCGGTGGTCGTCGACGAGGCAGTCCTGCATCTTGAAGTAGGCGTCCTCACAGGACTTGTTGTTCTCGAACTCGACGAAGGCGTACTGCAGCGAGTCGCCTGTCTTCCAGTCGCGGATCACCTCGCACTTCTTGATCGCACCAAACCTGACGACACACACGAATGGGGAGGTGTGGATGCGGTGTGCGCCTCCACTCACTCATGCGTCCATACCGTGAGAAGATGAGCTCGAGGTCGTCGTCCTGTGTGTGTGGGTTGAGCTTGCACACGAACAGCACATTGTCTGGCGGCTTCATGTCGGCGTCGGGCAGGTCGCCCAGGATTTCTAAGGCCACCGCGCGGCTCTTGGCCTCACCCGTCTCGATCCTCTCTATCACCTGTGTGTGCCAGAACACAACACATCAACACACGCATCACAAAAGGCGTAGATGAATGTGCCCACCACCACTCGCCCACCTCTGCCTCATCCTCCTGGTTCTCGAATGGCTTGAGCTCCTCATCGATCATGGCCTCCGGCGACTTGTCCGGCACCAGCCTCCCCAGCCCCTCGGGATCATCGAAAGGGTCCTCCAGCACGTGTGTGTGCCGTATGCGGATGTTCTGGATGGGCCGGCCGTCGTCGCCCAGCAGTGCGGGGTTGATCTTGTTGAGCAGGATGTCGGCGCCCTCGGCCACGACGCCGAAGATGGTGTGTCGTCCGTCGAGGTAGTCGATCTTGTCTCGGAGTGTGATGTAGAACTGGCTGGTGTTCTCGTTGGGGTGGCTGTTGTTGGTCGCCACCACACCGACACGGTCGTGCTTGAGCTTCGGGCTGATCTCATCCTGGAAATGCGGACCTTTTCCCTGAACAGATAGGCAACACCCACACCAGACGCATGGTTGCATGTGTTGTGTGTATGCGTGTGACGCGTGCGTACCAGTAGCTTGAATATTGAGTCTCCGCCCCTTCCTGTGTTGGTAGGGTCGCCGCTCTGCGTGACGAAGTCCTTCTGGACGGCGTAGAAGAGGCAGTTGTTGTAGTACTTGATCTTGCAGAGCTTGAGGAAGTTGGTGCACGCCTGCGGGCACTCGGTCGTGTGCAGATCTATCACCAGGTCGCCCACACTCGTCTCCAGCAGCACCGCCATCCTCCAGTCACTTCAAGCCACACACGCGCCTCACAGACAACCGGCGAATGCGACAACAGAACGTAGGGCAGTACGGAGAGAAGGCCGCAGCGGACAGAGCCGCCCTCCCTTCTCTTCCTCTCTTTCCCTTCCCTCCCCGCGAGCTAAGCTGCGACGAGCAGTTTCACAGCCCCCGGACGCCCAGCCGCTTTTCTGCACGGCCATTGTGAGTAAGTGACGGCCATACCGCTACGCGTATTTCGCCCCTGCGCCGCGCAGCTCTTTGCCCGTTCATCTGTGCCTGTCCCGTCGGCGTTGCACTCCGTCATGTGGGGCAAGTTCCTGAGCAGCGTGTCATCAGCGCTCGACATCAACCAGGCCACCCTGTCTGGATGCATCGACATCATCGCCGTCCCGCAGCCCGACGGCTCCATCAAGAGCACGCCATTCCATGTCAGATTCGGCAAGGCAAAGCTGCTGAGGAGCAGGGAAAAGATCGTGAGCTGATAGAGATAGGGAGAGAGAAAGACACACAACACACACAGACGCCGAGAAAAAACCGCGCAGCCGTGGGACATGCATCTATCTCATTCTCCCTGTCTGTCTGTGTGCATGTGCGTATGTGCAGGTGACGATCACCGTGAACGACCAGCCCACCGACCTGCGCATGAAGCTGGGGGCAGCGGGGGAGGCCTACTTCGTGGAAGAGACTGAGGAGCCCGTCTCGGGCAACGCCCTGGCCTCCCCCCTGCACTCGCCCATCCTCTCCCCCCGCCCTTACATGATGCCCACCGACACCGAGGGCCTCCGCCCGCCCCCAATGCCCCTCACCCTCTCAGAGGCGGTGCTGACCGACAAGGCTTCGCGGGAGTGGCAGCTGGGTGATGAGAGGAAGGGGGTGACCCACGGCATCAAGGCTGAGTGGGAGGGGGAGGGGCTGGGCGTGGCGAATGGCGTAGGAGAGGGAGAGGGAGAGGGTGGGAAGATGGTGGGCATTGACGTGCGGGAGCCGGTGTCCGCGCCGGCAGACCTCGACAAATCCCAGGATGTGAGCAAATGCATCAAGGAGCCCAGACAGACAGACGAAGGGCGGACAGCGGGAGACGGTATCTCTCTCTCTCTCTCTCTGTGTGTGTGTGTGTGTGTGCGTGTGTCAGGTTGAGGGTCAGTGGAAGTGGAAGTGGGGCGCGTTGCCCGAGAGGAAGGAGGTGGGCGAAACTCTCACCGACGCCGGCAGCCCACACGCGCACAGGAAGCGACTCGCAGACCTGGTGGTAGGCCATCGATGCCATGAGTGTGCAGCTTTGATTGATCTTGGTGTGTGCTGGCTCACGTTCGTGCGTGTATGTAAAGGATGATGACGACAGCGACCACAAGGTGGAGCTCTCGCTGTGTGGACACCTGCTGCACGGCACACCGGTGAGGCACCTGACAAGGCGACATGCAGGCAGGCAGTAAGTGTCCCCGTGTGTGTATGGGGGGGGGGGGGGGGGGGGGGGG